GAGTAAGAGGCCTGCTATGTAACACTGCATAAAAACATACTATTAAACTCGACGCTCAGAGGTGTGTTCGCTCTTGCAATTAGCAAGTTACAGCAATAATAATTTCTTACGAGTGTAGTACTTACTATCGGTAGCTGGGCCCGTTTTGTGCTCATTAATGTCAGTGTGCTTTAATTTTATTATCTTATATGTAGTTTTAAGTATCCTCTCTGCAATGCCTACAAAGGCCCCTGGAGGGAATACATTAATAAATAAACTTTTCATATTACTGGAGTTGGTTTTCAGATGCACCGCAGGTTCAGGAGAAGTGGAACGAGTGCAGCCCCATCCCCATACAACACGTCATCCAGTCTGGTATGTCCTATTAATTAATATTGAAGGGTCAGACATGCAAGTGTCCTCAAAAGGTCCAGCGCATGCAGTGAAAACAATTCTTGGTGTACAGACTCTGAAGGCGTAAAGACATGCGGAAATATGTTTATTTGGCTAGTGTATCAAATATGTTTATTTCCACTTAATTACATAATTATTGATTCCTACCAAATGGTTCCGTAACAAGTTTTTTCTACGACAGTCGCCGTGTCAGGCGTTCAGCCGTAGTACCTAAGTTCCTTGTTGTCGGATGACGCTCCTGGAATGTCGGTGTTCAGTTTAGTCGAGTGACAACTTTGACTGACTGATGCTGCTTTGTAATCATACGTCAGTACCGCCACTGACATTTGATGCACTCAAGCTGCAGGGCTGGCTTTTAATCCGCAAATTTTCCTGGTAGGTTTCTGCGTCAATGCAGCAAGCTCGGGCATGTAATTCTTACGTGACTGTGCCTTTTGCTGTACCGTTGACTTGATAGCTAGCAACAATGTTTGTTTGCTATCCAAGCCATTTCACTTCCATTCCTTAGTGGCGATTTCTTCCGCATCCCGCGACCATATTAGTGGTCGCGGAATGCTTAAGTCTCGTGTGGCAAAGTGAAGTCGGGTGATGCTTGGTGTTCACTTTTGAGAACAACCAACCATTGCATTTCTTCAAGTCACTCAGCGGCATTCGCCTACGAAGTTGCAAATTGGTTGTTCCGTGGAGTGGGCACAGACAATTGGTGTCAGCGTATTATTAGGTATTGTCTTTGGACGACAACCGACACGAAATTAACTGTCATTGCATTGTCGCTCACCTGCTTTGTCGTGCTTACCTCCCGCTAAGGTGATGGGGGGTAAGCACGAGAAAGCAGGCACCATTCGCTGAGCTGCCTCCTTAAAGGGCAACTCCGCATCATTTTTGATATTTAGAAAACTATGTAGCCCTCTTCAGTATCATATAGGAAGACCCCACGTCAAATATTACGATCTAATTCTGTTTATATATTTAATAAACTGGCCAGCAAACCTTCAAGCGAGCCAAGTCGCCGAAATCTGCCAACTCTAGCGTGCGGCGCGAGGGGCAATCATCAGCGCAGTCAATGCCACGGAGTTGGAGCGGCCAACGTTGAACCACTACGTCAGAGGCAAGTGTACGTCATTCTCACGTTTTGCTTGTTTTTACTTCTCAGAGCGAAATTGAACGATGACGTCATGAGTTTCTCCTCCCGGTGTTGGCTGACCGGGCGTTCACGTGATCACCGTAACACGGATGCGCTAGTTTGCGCTGCCCTGCGCGCTTATCGGTCTGTTTCTCCGCTCCCCTTCTCTTTCGTCTTCTCCCCTTCCCCCTCTCCCCAGGGCCATCACCGTCCACGCCACGCAAAGCAACCTGCCCGCGTCCAACAAAAAAAAAAAAAAAAAAAAATCCTGCCCGCTTTGCGTGTTCTGTTTCTCGCTCCCTCCCGAACGTCACAAGACCACGTGGTTGGACGGGGCGTGGCCATGCCTCTGACGACCCGAGACCGATGTTGCCTGACGCAACCGAAGTTTCGGTTTCGGTATCTGCTGATGTTTAAATTAGGATTACACAAATCATATTCCACATTTCGCGAATCCGAAGACGTAGAGTTGTTTAGTAGTGCTTTGTGAATGTGAATCACATGGAAGCCTAAATTTTTCGGAATTGAGCGGAGTTGCCCTTCAAGCTGCGGTGATTGGATCTGAGTGTTGTGCGGAAAAGATGACGCACGGACTTTTCTATCTTTTTTTTTTTTTTTAATTGTATTTAGCTTAGTTGCTGGCTCCCTCGTTCATCTGCAGGACAGCGTGTGTCGCACATCGAAGATGTCAAATTGCGGATCGCATGTTCAGTTTCAGTTCGCGCTTTTAAGCTTATGATATGAGCCAACTTTACCCAACCAAAGTTTTATTAACATTACCGTCTATACATGCACACTGACGCCAAGCAAACTTAACAAAATATTGGGGTAACGACATGCTTCCCATTTCGATACAGTCAGCTGTCTTCTCGGTGCTGTCGTCAAAATGGAATAGATTGCTTTGCACCATATTCACTCCACACCGTACAGAAGTCTTTGCGTATGTTCTTGAGTACCATCTGGTATCATTTGAGCGGAGTGATGGCTTTTAACATATAACGTTGTTTTTCTTAACTGCCTATTGTATTTCTTTTTATTATGAGTATCGTATATTTGGGCCTCATGTAGTATTGCGATATATTACAGTGGACTAGAGGGTTGTAGTGGGCTCACGGGACGGCTGGGCCTGACGCGTTTGATATCGACGCGGCGGTGGCGCTGTAAGCGTTTCCTCCTGAAACTTTCCAGCGCGCATTGGCCAGACCAGGTCGGCTAGGCGGCTCTCACCAATCGCGGCCCGCGGGCGGGAGAAGTTTCAGGAGGAATCTACTGCTGTGCATCCGGCGTTTTCGACATTGGCCGCTTCAGCGCAACACACGGGGGAGATAGGGCGGTGAGCCCACTACCTAACTTCTAGGGCACTGTAGGTATATGTACGCGTCTCTCTATTCATAAAGTCCGGTTATGTTCACCTCATATTACGTTGAATTAAAACTTTCGATTGGGCTAGTTGGTTCATTGTGATCTGGAGGGCTTAAAAACGAGAAAAGCACGGAGGGGGAAGAGACACGCACATAGTGCCAGTCTGTGTTGTTTATGTGTCTCTTTCTCATCCATGCTTTTTTTTTTTTTGCACTTTTAAGTTCTCCAGATCATAATGTGTGTATTTTCTTTACCTCATTGGCTTACTTCATACTACACCATCAACTAAGGCTTTTTTTTTTTTAACTCTCTACTTGCGCTACTGAAATTCCCCATGAAACTATAGCCACCGATGGGATAAAAACGGCTGCACGCGTGTCTTTCCCATGCCTAGCCACCGGCATGCGCTAGTAGCCTTCCGCCGTGATTTGGAAGCGCGTTAATGTCCGAAGCTCACGAGATGCCGAAACGTTGAGGAAGGTATTACCACGGAGTTTGGTGTTAGGTTAGCGCTGGAAGCCAAAAGAATGAGAAAGCTCCCTGTCGTTCTCAGCCTGCAGTGACCAAAGCAGTATACCTCTAAATAAATAAATAAACGCTCATGGTTATAGGGTCGATAGTATGAAGCATTCGTAGCACCATAAACATTCGAGCATTACTTGGGCCTTCTCTATGACAAAGAAACAAAATGCTTCTCAATGTTAGCTGCAAACACCATGCACTTCTCGTCCAAATGCTTGTACCGCACCAGGTTCTTGGTTCGCACAACTTTTGCCGATACTGGGAGTTTTTTCTTCCATTTTTGAGGGTTCCGATAACATAACGCGATCGTGAGTGACTATTTTCTTTCAGTTGGTTATGTTTTCCTTGTGCGACTTCTATAACGATGCATTTCATTTCATACCACTTTCCTGGCCTCTTGATTTATTTATTTTTTATATCCTAAAAAGTTTGAATCGAAATTTCCAAATTTCTTCAATTTTATTGAAACAACACCATGACTGCATTGATCCAGCCAATCAGCTGCTGTCATTTTTATATATAGCGCGGCTCCAGTGTATCTTGCGAGGTAAGCCAGCTGGAGATCTCGACGCGTGCACATAGGCGATTCAAGCTTTCATAAATGGGTTTTAAAGTTGTGCCTTTTAGCTTATAAACTTTTCAGGTATAGCTTCCTTTTTGCGAAAAATGAGAGTAACAAAATTACCAAGGTCAACGGCGAACGGGTTTGCGGACGACAGAATTAGCGACGCTTGTAACGTGTGGCGTCATTTCCTGATAGGTGCAACGAGATGCAGCGCTCTGTCGTCTTCTGGCTACATCAATCGGGAGATGGCGACACGCGTTACTAGCGTCGTTTACTCGGTCGTCTGCTAACTTATCCACCACTGACTGTAGCAAGTGTGTGAGACAAAAAAGGAGCTATGCCTTAAAACGTCATCAGCAAAAATGCACCACCGCAAAGAAGATTCGGTGAAAGTTCGAGTTTCCTATGCGCAGGCGTCAATTTTTTCGGTTGGATTCACAGTGTGAGATACACTGTAGCCCCCTATTTATGTCGCATTACAAGTAAGTATCAATACAAAACAAAACACAAACTGTCGTTCGCTTTTTGTGACATTTTATTTTGTGGCACGTTCCAACACGACCCCATTGTCGTTTCAAAGCTATCTTTGTGCGATTGTAGGATTACAATTTTTGTAGAATAAAATGAAATTGTATTAAACTTTTATACAGATCAGCTGTTCAGCAGCAATCTGTGCAGGGCGTATAAAATATAAAACAGCAGGTTGCTTGGCACAAGAGACTGCTAAATTTCGGCTATTTTACTGACGTACGCAAAACGTAAATATTTTTACTACGTCAATACTAATTTCAGATGTCAAATTATTGGTACACACGGTCTAAAATAGTAAGCAGTGTAATATAAAAATACGCGCTGTATTATAAGTTCACCAGTCACAACTGTTTTCAATAAGGATTTATTTCAGTATTATGAAGGCTTATCGTTTTTTTTTTCTACTTCAACACACAATTCGTTACAATATTTATAAAGGACCATTCGCTTGTTTAATGTGCAGACGTGTTCATTGCTGCATTGGAAAAGAATGTAGATGTTTTCGTGAGACTTCTATAGAATCTCAGCACCATATCTCTTGAAAACAATAGTAACCGACGGGTCAGCAAGCCGAGGGTAGCTTTCTTTGCACATTCAGATAAAGCACACTTTATTTATCTTGTACTCCTTCTGAAAACGTGAAAAAAATTGCATGGTGAATCGGCTGTACTCCATTAAAAATAGTACCTAGTTTTTGTAATTAAAAAGATGCTGTATAAATGCACAAATAAAAATGCACCTCAAAAAATTTCAGACTATAAAGTACCCAGGAAACAGTTCTGTTGGGCCAAAATTTGTGTTTTGTCGGTAAATTTGTGATTTTAACAAGACTGAAGAAACCCGGGTAAAGCCAAACTTGGAGTTCATTGGCCACAGCCTGGGTTCCTTGGCCCTAAATTGCCAAACAAGTACCAAAGTTGGGCTTTACTGCCGGTACTTCCGGTTTTCATGTGTCCACTTTGGACCTAAATTACCGATAAAGTGCCCTAATTAGGATTTACCGCTGCTTCCTTCGGTTCGTATACGCGGCATTTCAGGCTCAAGTCTGGCACTTTGAAAATTCTGTGGCGAGCCAGAGGAACGCCCTAGAAACGCCAAAAGTGAAGTACTCTCGAACTAACTAACGCCTTGGAGCAAAACCGTATCAGGCCCATGTTAGGCTCCTAGGGCTATCAAGCTTGTGCCAAGTTTGGCGTTTCTCTAACATGCCGCCTACACAACTGCAACAAAAGCCGCAGTACACAGCGGAAGAAAAAATTGTATGAGATTGGGGCCGATTCTACAGTGCCGTCCTTCATTATATCTAGAAAATTTGTTTTATTTTTGAAAAAAAAAAACGTAAGGGTTACCTTGTTGTACGTAAATTTGAACGATCCTCTTTTAGCGTGATACACCATTTTTGTCGTTATTTGATCCATATCCACTTCCTTTTGGAGCGTCGACGTTTCCTTCAAGTCGATTAATCTTCCCCAAAGCGTAAACTTAAGGAAACTTTCCTCTCTGTCCTTAATCTGTTCAATGGATGCTCATTAGTAGTAATACCGGAAAAACTCGAAAGATGTACCTGTACCATGAACTGAGTCCTGAGAGGGTTAAAGAAACACTACCACTAAGTGAAGCATAATGCACGCCACCTACCCGGCAGATGGGCGGGTGAAAAAATCTACATAATAAGAACTCAAACCTCGAACAATGTATTACTTCGTAACGTGCGATCAAAAAGTACCAAGACAACTTTTGTTGTGTAATCTCTTTGCTTTTGTCTTGCACGTAGCGTCAGATGCGCCACAGCACGAGGTCCGTGTCTCGAGCGAACCTTGAAAGCGAATGGCGGCGCAACACTGAAATGAGCGGCCCTTCGAAGCAAATGGCGGCGCAGCACTAAAACGAGTGACCCTTGGAAGGGAATGGTGGCGGAGCACCCGCCCGTGACACGTGTCTTGTGTATTTCCACAAAAACGGTTGGTGATACTTGTTAAAAGTGCCTGTGTCGAGGGGCTTTAGCGCGCCTGGCTTACAAAGGCAGTGACCTTCATGTGCCATGCCAAAGGGCGTCGTTCTGTGAACATTTGGGAATGCACGTACAAGAGCTTGACTACGTACACGTGCACATCAGCGATTTCAGCATGTACATCAATGAGAGCGACAAACGAGCATCGATTCTGCGTCAAACTCAACAAATCTAAAACAGAGACCATGAAATGAGTTGGCAGGCTCATGACAAAAAAAAAAATGCAATGAGTCGTGCGAGGAATTTCGAATGGCGCTTGCTTTTCAAGAATGTCAAAACGCTATTGGAAGACGAAGAGAGGTCAGGAAACCTTCCCCGGCCTCTCTTCGTCTTCCAGTGATGTTCTGTCGGCTCAGGTTCTGTGGCACCAATTTTCTCCCTAAATATAGCGGAGAAACTAAATTAGTGCATAGGTCACGTGACATAAATATTCTCGCCAAATTTGATATTTAGGGGCACTTCTCAAATGGGCACTGACAGGTAACAATAATTTTTTTTTTTTTATCTGAAACGATTGAAAACGATGCCTTGACATTACCCTAAAAAGCATTCGGAGCTTGGTAAATAAGTATTTCTGAAGTAAACAAAAAACAGTTTCAAAAAGCCGATTTTGAAGTTCCCGGACGATCCGTGCCAGTGCAGTGATGTCAAACATTAAGTCTACCTGTAAGTCAAGTATTTCTTCCGCCTCCGAGCCATCCCAACCGGAAGTGTCGTGTTTGCCCGATCAACTGCGCTTCTCCGTGTGTGACGCTTAACGAGGTGGAGGACTTAGAGCGACAAACCGGGGTTCCGGTCCACACACGTAAGTGACCCCCCCCCCCCCCCCCCCCCCCCTTTTCCGGGCCGCTGCCATTGTACACAAATGTGACTTCTCGTCACGTGACCAGACCAACTACGTGATGTCAAAGAAAAAATGGCAGCGCCCAGGCAGTGCTGGCCCCAGCTGATCTGGGGCGTTGGCCGGAGCTCGTCGTATCCGTGGTTCGTTGTCATTGATTTGAGCGAGTTGATTTCAGATGCGGGAGCTGTCATATGAAGTCGTTCAAAAGCGACTTGAGAGTTCAGCGTAGTCTCTCACCTAGGTATAACGTGCAAATACGGAAGAACGGTTCGCATTTCGCTGGCAATCGACGGGGGTATTGCCACGAAAAAGACAATCGGGCCTGCGTTGCACGTACGTACTTCAGATTGAACCTGATATCGCGATGACAAATTTTAACGCGACGTTTTTGTGCCGTCGTTGACCATCGTAATCCTTAAAGGGATGCTGAACCGAAATCTGGATTCCACAAAACACGGCGGCAAAAGCGTGCAACGGGATGCTACAAACACCAAACCATGACTCATACAGTGATATCTCGAACGGATGACCGTATTTTTTTAAAAAAAGAGGCGCCTTTGGCGGGAATGTTGACGTCATGTTTTTCCGAGAAGGAGAGGGAAAGGCCTCGCGGCTTTGAAGGAGCGAAGCGAAGAGAGGAGGAAACTCAGTATCTTGACGTCACGCGCCTTGTCGGCCTGGTTCCCCCCCCCCCCCCCCCCCCCCCCAATCTCGACTTCTTTTTTTCCAAAAATACGGCCGTCCATTTGAGATATCGCCTTACTAGTCGTGTGGTAGGGATTGTAGCGTCCCGCCTACATCTCCTGCATTGTTTTTTTGTTTTTTTTTTTTTTAAATCCAAATTTTGGTTCACCATCCCTTTAAGGTTTGCAACGAAGCGCGTGCAATATATTTGGATACACCGTTTAGCTACAGAAATTGCGTGAGTCGTGCCTGGCAGTGTGCAGTCCTGGTGCCGCTTCGTTCAAATGACTGAAGATTCACCTTGATTGTGCTGCGCACCGAAGAGCTGTCTTCAACCTGGTAGCTCACGTGCCGTGTTAGATGGTGCTGGCTGCTTCCTAAATTGTTTCACGGAACACAGGTGTTGCAGTTTGCATTGAGTCCGCTGGTATGCCGCACGTTTCGTTGACACCAACGTTTCATCTGCACTTTTTACGCGAATAGCAAACTGTATGGGTATTTCATCGCGCGTGTATCACTGTGGCACCTGTTACCTACCCGGGGTACCCGTTCACGCCGCTTTGCGGCAACAGTCTGCAGCGACGTATTACCAAAAAAAGTGGTCTTAACTCCATTTAAGTTCAGTTCGTCCACGGCAGTCGTCAAAACACCGAAGGAGAAGACTTATTCAGAGGGAATGCCACTAAATCAATGCAGCATTTTTTGCTGGTCAGGGTAAACTCTTTAACTCTTTTCTGTCAGTTTTATGTGGTCACGGACGCTTGGTCCAGTCGTTTTAACAATTATTACTATTATGAAAAGTTACAGGCCATGCTCAGCTGTCACCGTGCGTACTGGTGGAGGTGCTGGGTACTTTGCTCTTAGCCTTGCACTTCGTGGGCACCATGGTGGCTCCTTAGCTGAGTTGCCCGACAACGAGACATGGGTGGCGGACTGTCCCGTGCGGCGACAAAGTCGAGTCACGCACATCGCGCACGCCGCCTTGATAAGGCTGATGAGAGGTGCCGCCCAGGCAGTCGGTGACTCGGTGCCTATACTCAAACGCCAATGGTGACACGTTGTTTTAATGTTAGTGTTCTTTATCGTCTCATTGCTCTTCAATTAAATGTCTTTCCTTGTTGTCGCAGCTGTTGGCTCCGTGTTCTTCCCTTGATTTAAGTATGAAGCAAGGCAAACCGACCACAATGGCGCCATAGCGTGGTATGATACTTACCTGAAGAAATTTCACGGGTGTTGGTTTCTTTTCTTGGTAAGCTTTTTTCCCACTTCCAGTGTTTCCAGTCGTCATTCCGTGCTTCCGTGTCACGTCCGCGTTGGTTGTACTGGGGTTCGTTTGATTTGTTTTGTGCCTGCAGCAAGAGTTTTCTCGCTGCTCGCTTGTGTCGATTGCCTGGAGGCGTTTTTTGTGTGTTTGCAGTCATGCCGACACGGCAAGAGGATAAAGAAAGGGTAGAAGCTGCACAGAGGAACCCCCTAGCGAAGCTCACTGAGATGTGCACCTTTGTGATGCAGCGCCTGGCCCTTAGGCCTGGCCAGCAGGAGACCCCATCACGACAGCCCTGACCACACTTGTCTGTGCCAGTCTGCACAGGGTACGACGACGTCAAGTCCGTGGCAGACTTTTTGAGCGGGCTGCAGACGTACCACCATGCTTCCGGTGCCTCTGAAGCTTTCATTGTGGACCGCATCCTGCCGCTTGCATTACAAGCGAACGCCAAGTGCTGTTTGGTGTCACAGGACCTCTTCACCAGCCTGGCGGACTTCCGGACAAGGCGACAAAAAGAGTTCCTGTCTGCGAGCTATGCGGCACAGATTCTCCGAGAGTTCGAGGCAAGGACGCAACACCTGCAGAAAAGTCGGGTCCAGGATGTTCGTGTCATGCAAGAGCTCTTCAAGAGAACGGACCCGAATACACCGGAGTCGACAGAGTAGCTTGGGTCAGAAGACAGTGCCACTCAAGATACCATGTCTATTTTATCAACGGCACTTTTGAGACCCTTGAAGAGCTAGGCTGGGGCGCCAGCCTCGCCGAGGAAGCCATTCATGCAGGGCGGAATTATGTGCCGCCGTCGTGGTGGAGACGATGGGGCTTCCGGAACGGGACTGCCATCAACGTCGTTCCGGTCCTGCGAGAAATCTTCGTCTCCTGCTTGAAAACATCGTTTCAGGTCGGTCACTTGAACAGATCCAGTTTCTTGACTAGGCTCAGTTTGTACTTGACTTGTGAACACTTTTCATGCACACGAAACGGACTTTCCCACCAGTTTGCGAGGGAGGGTGCGAAGCTTTGAGCGGAGTCATTCTGTGGGTGAGTACGCCAGAGCACAAAATCTCCCACCTCGAACTGCAGGTCACGTCACCCTTGGTTGTGACGTTTCAACTGCTTTACTCAGGTTCCTTCAGATTGAGATTCACCCAGTAGATGTTCAGGAAACGGCTTTCATCTGCCACACAGGTTCCCGAAGAGTGCGTCGGAGAAGTTACCTGGCTAGCTGCAGTTCCTGAAGGACTACTGGACGGTTTAGAATCGAACTCCTTTTTTTCGTTACTTTGTCGACGAGGATTATGAAGTCCGCCCAAGCGACCCTAGACCGTGGGTGGTTAAAATGGTACCTCGGTTGAGGCGTGGTTCCGACACACTTCCCGCAGCAAAACATCCAAGAACAGAGGTAAGTCTACCGAGCATAAAGAACTTGGTCTGATTTCCAGAACACCCTCCCTGCTACAATCTACAGGTGCCGAGCGCCGCCACGTTTTTCAAGAAAGGATAGAAAGCCAGGAGGCAACATCACTTTCAGACTTCGATTGTCGGTATTTCAAAAGAAGAGGGCATAGGGCGTTCGCAATTGCGTTAACAAACATGTTTTACAAATGCCGTTAATAAATGTTATAGAAATGACGCTTACAAAGCGTCTAAGTTGTATAATCGATTACGTCACAACTAAAAAGGATCGCGGAGGAGAAAAACGCCAAAAATAAAAAGGTGCGCGCGCGCGTGGGAGAATTTATTTGGCGTTCTGGTATTCTTTTTTGCATGCCTATGACTACAACTTACATCATTTTACACTATAAAAAATACGACCTTTAGGGTGCCAGTGCCACTTCAGAGGTATTAACCCCATACCTGGCCGTTGCAATTCCTCTTTGCCTTTTGATCTCTGCCTGTTCCTTGGCTTCAGCCATAAAAACTTTCGGCGTTGGTTCTTTCGAAGACAAAGGTTAATAAACAGGCGAGCTGGTTAACGCTGAACAGGATTTTAACCGGAGACATCGGAAGGCAAGAGAGTCAAGGGACAAACATACAGGTCCCAAGCGCAGCTGAATAGATTTTATTATGCATTGTGTTTTATATGTCACCCATCACACGACCTTCACTGAGTTCTCACTTGTGTACACAACCAGCGCCACGCCTCCACAGCACAGCCAATGGTACGCTACCGTCTACCCCACTCTCTCACATGACTTTCACCAAGTTTCCACACGTTCCCCACATCCATTTCACCCCCTACCCAACAGATTCAATGGTATGGGTCAAACTTCTCTAACAAAGCCGATAAAAAATGTAATGTTCCCCTTACCCCTATTCCACCCATTACAAAAATAAAAAAAAACCTTCGCGACACCGGATTAAGAGCCATTGAAGGCTGGCTAATAGAATTTCGCACAGAGCCAATCCGAATTGTTTTGTTTGAAATTCTTCTTGTACAATTGTTTTCTTTACTCAATACAATATCCTCCAACACCGGCAACGATTGCACTCTTCTACGAACCTTGCCATTTCCGAGTTCGTTGCATTATTCTTGACAGCCTTCTTGTGCTCAAGTAATCTTACATTCAAACAGCGCTTTGTCTGTATGACGTAGGAGGATCAACACGTCATTGGAATGTCATAGACAACACCAACCTGGAGTTTTACGGGGGGCTTCCTGTGACTTTCTACAGAAGCTTGAATTCCATTTAAAAATGGCTTCAACTTATTCAACTTGCAGTCTGTAGTAGCGACCACGTTTATCCGAAATGTATTAGCAACCGCCATCAGATTGTACGAAAACCCGTGAAAGAAAGAAATACACGCCACACTGTCCTGTTTCTCTCCTTTTTTACAATTCCATTAGAACACTTTAGGCATTTAAAGGGTACCCTTCCGCCTTGTTATTCTGAGTATCCCGCGTCCTTCTCGCGCAATAACTAGTGCTTAACTGCCCCAGACAACCTGTGCTGACATGTTTTCTTAGAGCATTGTCTAGCAAGGATGCTAATATATCTGATTTAACTAACTTTGAGTGACGTTTAACTGACTTTGAGTGGCAAGTTGCCACCCAAAGTTAGTTAAACGAGGTGTAGCGGCAACAATGATGCTAAGCAACGAAAGGCCGAAGTGTCGTTACTGTGATACGTATAGTTTCTAGTAGGCCCAAATCTTCAACGTGACACTAAAGAAAGTGAAAGAGTGTCTTCTAGAAGGCCGGAGGGTTCAATTTTTTGTCACCTGAAGAGGTAAACGGGGGAAGGGGGAGGGGAGTTTACAAGTTGGGCTGTGTAGCTCGTAAGCGCCACAACACGAAAGCACGTGAGTAAAAAGTTTCGAGGATTGTATCTGCGACTGTACACTTCCCTAAGAGGTTACTATAGAGCTATTGCTAAATTACCTAAGCATCATAGAGAATACTGAAAATGTAAATACATGAGCCGCTCGTGCTCGCCTTCCCCGTATAAAAGGTTCGAAGTAAATAACCAAAATAAAGCGTTGACGAACGCGCGTGCCAGATGCCATTTCTTTTATGGTTTTGCTTTCAAACAGTTACTATACTCTGTTTCATACTTAGTGTGTGACGCTGTCAAAGCTACTGGCGCGAGCACAGGGCTTGAACTTGGTTGATCATTTGCACGCTTTCTCGCGTAAACAAAACCATAGATCAAGCCACGCGCTCGCGCCAGTAGCTTTGACAGCGTTGCACGCTAAGTATGAAACAAGTGTATAGTGCGGACGCAAGAGCTTGCAGCATACGTAACTACTTGGTGCTTGGTTAATTTAGCAAAAGGTCTATTGAATAATGAAGGCAGCATTCAAGAGGTTGTGTTCTTCCGGCTCAACGGAAATATTAAAACAATTCTGTGTGTGTTTTCTTTTTTAAGAATTGTTTTTTTTTTAACTGTGGGTATGTATTGCTTGTATATTTTGAGTAGTTTCTCGCCTTACATTTATGCAGTCCAACATTGTTTTATTGGGTATTTGCTGGCGATTACAAGCAAGAATTGAACATGGCCCAAAAGGGCTCCCACCGATATATCTATGTCAATCATCGTATTTCAACGGCGATTACAAAGAAATAACCCAATTTAATAGGTCAACTTCCTAACACTGTCACTGTGCGGCGCTGAACCGAGATAATAGATGCTATGGTTGGATTCGGCTATCTTTCCAGCGCGTCGTACTATTTCGCCGTGCATGCAGCTGATGTCTTCAGTAAGAAAACATTCATTGCAATGCAACAATAGGGTGTACATAGAATACGGGGTAATGTTGGGACCGGAGCGGCTCGCGTGAGGCGTGTGGTATAGTAGATCGCGATAGGTGGTCAACACAGGTGCATCAGCAGTAGGGTCAGTTATAGCCTCCTCTATGCTCATAAAGCCTGGCAGTTCGATGACGGAGCCATAGAGTACCCAGTTGTAGATTTGGAGCATGAGGATCTGGTAGCACAGAGCATTTCTCGGGGAGTCTGGTATTCAGCGCACAGCTTTTGCAGCGGCGAAGACGCAAAACATGGTTTTTAAACCCGACGGGAAAAAAAAAAGTGGTAGCCCGAGGAACGCGAGAAGCACGAGCGGACATTCCATTACTCTGAGCCAGTGTGTTTCGGCGTCTCGCCGCAGCGGGGCGCCCGTTACGTGACTCTTGTAGAGTGCCTTCATACACACGCGCGCTTTTCCTTGAGTGGTGACATCTCAGCCACTTTTCCACCCAATCCTTTTTTTTTTATGCATTTTGAGGTGTGCGCAATCCGGTGTCACTCAGCTCGAACGCGTAGCTTTGGCTAATGCATTGACGCCATTGTACCGCCCAAGTCACGCATCAAGTGCGCGAGAGCGTCACGCGCTGGCACATTCAGGGCAACAATGAATGTCTTCACCCTCAGACAGACAGACATGTAGGCACCCTAGACTCTTGTCTGCAGCTCTACCTTTTTACTTTCGGCGGCCGCGTCATGTGACGATCTGCCAGGCTTTGTCAGTATAGAGGAGGCTATGGGTCAGTTAGCTGGCGGTTGTGCACGTGCACCGCGTGAACGCGCACGTGCGGCGGCACGGGCGAACTGCAGCGACTTTCTTCTGCCCTGTCGACTGCAGCGCCGCGATTGTTGACAACACGCACAGCCTCACAATTTCCCATGGTGAAGTCGCGCCGGTGCAGACACTATCCCGTTTTCTAATACCCTGTAGCTACAACGCACCCTTCGGCCCCATCATCGCTCTCGTGTCGCACGCTCTAATGGCACGTACGTCAGCGCTCTCCTGTCGTGCGCTGTCGAGGCGCAAGTCTTGTACGCGTTACTTCAAAAAATGTCATTGATTACAATTACAATTACTTTATTTAAAATGTAACGTATTACCGTAATCAATTGCTGCATCACAAAAGAAATTGAAAATTTTCAGAAAGTAATTGATTACGTTTCACCTTACTAATTCATGTTACTAGTTGAGGTCAGTGCAGAACAGAGTCGTCAATGCCCCGGAACGCTTGGATCGTAACAACCCGTTCACAGAAAACAAGGCACATTCGACAGCTCGACAGTCAAAACGCCGCGCTGACCGTGTTGACATTCTAATCCTTCTGATACCTCAGTATTTTTTTTTCTAATTGTTTAGGTCTAAAAATGTGTCCGACCTTGGTGCACAAAAGACGATGTACGCACGAGCAGACAGAATGATTTTTTTTTTTACGTAAAATAACTGAGCTCAATCATTTCAGCTCTTTCGGGAACAAATCATTCATTACTTGTACTTGATTACAAAAAAAATACTAATTAAATTACAATGAACTTGCCCCCCCCCCCCCCCAAAAAAAAAAAGTAAAATTGAAGCGTTAAAAAGTTCCAATAAAATATAGCGGATTACAAATAATCAGTTGCTTGTAACCCTTACAAGTCTGCGAGGCGCTCTCTTTACAGACAAGGACGAGTGCTGCGTCAGCTTTCAGCTGAGACTCTCCTTCAATCAGTGAGGATACGAGTACCTGTAGAACGCTAACGTAGCCCTCGTGTTTAATACCTGCCCCGTATTTAAATTTTTCGGTGACGTAAACATTTCAACCCTCCAGCCTTATTATTTAGGAGGTGTTGGGATAGCGCAATTGCTCGCCTACCCTCGGCCGTTCGCCTACCTATCCCCAGAACACTCGAAGGTCGCTTCTATGGTCTGTTAGAGCCCACTCTGTACAAGCCGTTTACGGCATTTTTTTTTTTTTTTTTTTTTTTTACTTTGGTGCCGCGGAAGGCTTTGGACGCTTTGCAGAAGGTACGTTGGCAACTGACGAGAGCGCACGTGACCAGCACCCCTCCTGCTGATTGCAAAAGGTCCTCACCCTGGATACGAAGAAAGCTTCCCAACAGTCAATTTTTGTCACTCACCGCTTTGAAATCGGTGATTCGCAAACGTGGATTCGGAATGCCACCGGTGACCTCGACAGACCTCCAAGCAGCAAACAAGAAGTCTGGTTCTCTGAGTAATTCTATAGGAAGCGACGTTTCTAGAAGGGTAATTTAAAACCTTATAATAAGAATAAGTTAGTTTATTTGCTTTAGAGGGACAAATCGAATATACGCCTTTGTGAGAGGAGGTGAAATGATTTTTCACATTTAAATTTCGTTAAATCAATTTTTATTACACATATATTGTTATCGCGAAAAAAATATACGTAGAGCCTATCTCAACACCTACTTTGAGAGAACTTGCAAATTTGCATCTGCCCTCTAACGACAACAGGAACCGTGTTATGACCGGTTCATTTTGGATACATAACGAGTAGATTGAAGAGTGTCAACATATCTGGAATCTGGAGATTTCTATACGTTTCTGCAGTTTCTAGGCAGATGAAAACGAAAGTGAATCATGTAAAAATCTATACCATTATTTCGACTCAAAGAAATAAAAAGTCAGTCGCAAAACAAGACTCGTGAACATCAACACAAAAGCGATGGAAGGATTTACGTGTAATGAAGCCACAATATTCTTTACGTCACTTAACCTTCCCGCACCCAAAATAAGGCGACATGATGGGGCTAGGGTGGAGTCCCAACGGCTTTAACTTAAAAGCACCGATGCATATCCGTCAGTCTAAAAAATACAAAATCGGTAAAACTGCAAAACACCAATCTCTGGACCTTCTTGTTCCTCCAACTAGACTGTTTTTGTCGAAATCCTCCAGTCTTAGACTTAAAAATTAAAATTTGTATAGTATTTTTGTACGCTTATTGCCATTTTTACATTCTGAATGGCGAAATACGCCCATATATAAAAAAATTAATGATCACCGAGAAACAACCGCTGATATATTATGAATAAACACCGGAAAATCTACGACTTAGATATAGCCCACCTATTTTGTCAGAACAGTTCCTCAACATCCAAAAAAGAATGCCTGTTGACCAACCGTCACTCATCGTAGTCTTTGTCGTTTCCACCCGTTTAGGACAAGTTCTCATTCGCCCACAGAGCACAGGGTTCACCGCCACGGTCAAGTCCGCAGCCAGTTTTACGAGAATCACCCAGCAGTCGAGCACGCACATGCTATCCATAAGATGCATTCATACTGAGTAGAAGCGAAGCGTCACGGTGGCGAAACCCAAAGCACTGCCCACTAAGCGATGGAATGAGTTTTCTAACCGACACTCTCCCCTCTTGCGGGTGACAGGACGATTGGCGGGACAGCATTCTGAGAGATATGCGCTAGTTAATAGGGAAGCATGCAAACCCCAGAACAATTGTAAAGCGTGTTCTCCAAAAATGGTCCGTGTTTCTTTCACCGTAAAAATAAACTACGCATTACCGAACTTTCCGTTGCATAAATAAAGGTAACGCAAAAGACGAAGACAAGTAGAAGACACAGACACGGACAAGCGTCTTAGGGCTTGCCTTTTGCGCTTGTATTTTGTGCTAGATTTACGTATGTATTGTATAACCAACAAGCTTGTCATATGATCTTAGTATCCGCCCAATTGTACGGCTGTTTCCCAGACCAAGTTTTAGAACTGACCACTATATCACCCAGCAGTCCTAGGTGATTTCCTGAAACTTTCAATCGAGAAATAGGGCCCGTTTACCGTGGTTTGCGTCATTCAGGCCCATGCATTCCTTTTAAGGGATTCGCGTCGGCCACATTTTTCCCGAAGAAAAATTTCAAAAATCGCTTAAAGCTTCTTAATAAGATAACGGTTCATCATGAAACCTTAGCGTCGGATTTAGACCACTTGAGCTAAATTTGGGCGGAAAGTGAGCGTTCAGCGATGCGTAATTTGTTGCTCCGGTTAAACATAACCCTTCATTCCGATGACACATGGTAAATAAATTGCCGGCTATTTTCCTTGATTTTTCTTCTTCCATTTTCAATAAAATAAACAAGCATTAATACGGAACATCGTACACAAATAAAAAAAATACACTAAAGCCACCGACCTTGTTGTTATATTGCTGGTGTTTTGTTTGCTTCTTCCTCCGCCTGGCATCTTCACCAAAAGAGTGTCAGCCCCGTCACCTTCAGCGACTATATTCGCTATGAGCATTAATGATTCGGTCATGATACAATAATTTCAAACGGTTCAAGTAGCATCCCGTAATTTACAAAAATAACAATATAATTTTTTTTTTATAATCAAGGTCAAGACCAGTTTATTTTTGGGGTTAAGCAGACATCACCTGTGGTATTTCTTCGCTAGCTCCCAATATTTTTCTGTCCTGCCTATGCCGCTCTGTGCGGATATGTATTCACAAAGTAAGGTTCCACCGTAAACATTGTATATCCTTACCGGTCAATCGCAGCCTCAATTTCCTTGTGTCGTTCTTGTCGCTGCATGCAGTTAGAGCAAAGCCTTTTGTTTCCGTTAATTTATCCATGTTGGAGTTTACATTGTAAAAATAGAAGGAGAAGGTCTGTCCGATGTCATAATCTTTGTGCTTATCACTCTTTTTGTAGTACAGCTAAAAATGACAGACGAGTGTTCTTAAGAAAAGCGGAGAGCAATGTGGACCATGTCTGGCATGTTTATTTAAACAAGGCGCCAGAGTAAAAAAAATGTTGGTCAAAACTCGCAAAAGTACAGGTTGCAAACGCTCAGATACAAACGTGTGCTTTGCGGAGAGGCTTACCTTCTTGAGAGCCTCGCGTTACGAAAGCACTGAAGCAATTAAGGTCTTCAGCGAAACATCGGCGTTAAGGCTGAAACGCTCCAATAGATTTTTATTCTAGTTTGTATGTACTATGATTGAAGGGAATAAATAAGCGCAGGTAGTAAACCACCTTCATTCTGAATTATTACTGCGTGGCCACTAATTATGAAAACATGAGCTCATAGGACACAAAATGAAACAGACATAAACTTAGCACTAATGAGGATGTCCAGCATTTCTTAAGTTGTCTGTTTTTTTCAACTATTTGTGTTTACGATTCACTTCTAGAGGAGCACCATGACACGTAAGTCTTCACGTTTCACCGAGTAAATGTTTGCAAAAAAAAAAAAAGCACTCTCAAGAGATTTTTTTACAGCAATTAATGGCCCAGTATTTAATAAAGAACAGGTGCAGTTCAACCTACGCGGAGTTATGGAAGCTCGTGAAAATGGTTCAACAAAAACAATGTACAAAATCAAATTTCGTTCGTATTTGTATCAGAAGTTTCGGGTATTGACTAAACTCTAGATAACTTTTGGAGTTTGGAGGCTTCTTATTTCTCTGAACAGGCAGATTTTTACGCCAATAAAAAAGAAAAACAAAAACAGCGCTGCCCTACTATGATTATATAATTCTAGCTTTACCTTTGTTATTTTACAGAACAATAATTTAAGCAAATCGTCGTTGCTTGTTCTTTTTACAAAGAATTGTCAAATTGAAGCACAACTTTGGCTTGGCAGTTCTTAATCTCCTGTACAAGTGAATTAGCAGAGGATCGTATTAAAGGGGCACTAAAGTGATTTTGAAGTCCTGGTTTTACAGGTGCAACTCAATCTACGAGCACTAAGCAATTCTAAAAAAAATCAGAATTACATTCATGCGCGTCCGATTTGCACCTTAAAAAGTGATCAAAGTCTCCAACACTTAACATCGGCGCAGAACGACAGATGGCGCTGGTGAGCCTTGCTGAATATGGTTATGGTGCCTGGAACGCGTCTCCGACTGGTGTGTTTACCGGGTTCAAAAAAGTGGTCCCTCGATTTCCGCCTGATGACGTCATAGAAGTGTCATGTTGTCGCCTGTTGTGACCCTGGCGGCACCCCAACAGTTGTGGTATAAGTGGCAGACGCCTGTTCTGCTGCAGTTCGCTTTCCACTGTGACAGTTGACGGAAGCTGGAGCAGCCGGAAGTTAGGACGCCTAAAGGGACGCCGTGACGAAAGCGACACTCGCGTTCGCTCGTGCTTTTCGCCAGCATTTCTACGGCCAACCGCCAGGATCGCGACAGGCAACAGCATGACACTCGCGTCATTTGTTGCCACATTGGGACCACTTTTGATGTATGGGCGGGATAGGACGCTAAACACACCAGTCGAAGACGCGATCCAGGCACCATAATATGGTCGAACGGCGGACGGCGCGTGTCAGCTTCTCGCGAGCGATGGGTTCCCGCGTGGACGAGCGGACGACCAGTCCCGGTCGTCCACGCGGGAATTCAAAGCTCGCGAGTGGCTGACAAGCACCGTCCGTCGTTCGACCATATTCAGCAAGGTTCAGTAGCGCCATCTGCAGTTCTGCGCCAACGGCAAGTGTTGGGATCTTTGATCACTTTTTTAATACTCAAATCGGCCGCGCATGAATGTAGTTTCGGTATTTTTTACGATGATTGAACCTCGTAGATCAAATTATGACAAAAAAACGAGCATCTCAAAAGTACTTTTGTGCCCTTTTATGTTTCTTCCTCAGACTACGTATATATATATATATATATATATATATATATATCAGACAATGTCGCCCTCGATGGTTTAGGTTTTCTATGACGGATGTAGGTAAAAAAAAAATGTTTTGGGGCCTGGCAGGTCTTTCTTCAGTGTATTAAAAAACCTCAATAACTTCGTTTTCTATCACGCCAAGAAGTCTAAACAGACACTTACATTGGTAATAACATCTATTACATAAAAATATCCCTTACTTCTTTTATGCAATAAAATGAAAAGGCAATTCACCTTAATATACAATTAAAATAAACAAATAAATGTAGTTTTTTTAGGCGAAATCAGTTTTGGGGCATCTGGTTGATGTGAAGTCAACAATACCTGGTGCCACGATATATTGATCCATTATTAAAGTACTCACTCGTGTCGAGTTAAACGGTCAAACGAGGGAAAACTATAAAATAGGAAAACAAAACAGAAAACAGTGCGGCAACGATTAGAAGATCTCTGTGTTTTATATCGAGAAAAAAAATGACGGAAATGTCCTTTAGGAATGTGAATGTTCTTCAATTCTAGAATATCAAATTTATAAAAAAAAAATGGGTTGTGTGTATGTTTATACAGCCTAGAACTTGGTCTGCCTCCAAGGGCGACGAGTCTCCAGCTGTAGATGAGCAATTTAGCCAGTGCAGTACAACCGCTAGCCTGGGGACTTTAACATGCATCACGCAGCAGTGATACACGACCGCACGCCGGTCCGATGCTCATCCAGATTGAAACGGGCAGGGGTGGGGATTGAGCCCAGTATCCTGGGTTCTGCAGCGCGATCTTTCGCTCCACGTGCTCCGAGCTGGTGTGCGCTAGCCACTCGGCCACCAATTCCCCTCAAATTTATAAATTAATATAGGTTCCGTATGTTTCCTGTCTCTGGTGGTTCTAAATCCACCTTGAAATATAATAAAAAATAAGATCAGAAACTTATGATCTCTGGAATTGAGTTACGTGACTTTCATTAGATTGCTGACATCTGCAAGCTAATAAAAGGTGAGCCATTGTATTGTTCATTCTGATTGACCGTTCTTGCCTGCCAAAAATAAATACTGTGATACATGCGCAAGCATTCTTGCTTAATTAATCCATTTATAAACAAATCGCTGGTTTATTTTGACATTGGATTGTTATCTATATCGAAACGAGCTATTTATTTCAGCACATTAAGTATAAGAAATATATCATAGAAGGCAGTCTTCTTTCTATATAAATGCTTTCATCTATGTTATTCTGAGATTGTTGAGAATGATATGAACAATGTACCCCATTCTTACAGAGTTGCGTCACCTAATTGTTAGTTACTACATAGACATAATTAAATAACTACATGTTATTTTTTTTCTTCGTGTTTCTAGAGAAAGGCAAAATTATTTTTGCAAGCTGCTTTTCTTCATGAAACTGTCATTGTAAATGTGAACATACTCCTGAAAGAAATAAAAATCATTTGAGTCATGTTCTCTTCCGCAGTATGACTCTATTTGCACGTCAAACGTACAATATTTTTTTTTCTAGGTAGAAAGACATTGGCCCTGAGCGAATAAAATACACCGTAAAGGCTTGGTGCTTGATCCTCAAAGTGATTAAAGCTACCCTACTATAAAAACATTGCAAGTGTAAAACTGATTTTTTACTGTCAAAAGTTGCGTGCCTATTAGCCCCATATTTTATCTTTATAATGCCAAATTAATTTTTAAACACTCATTTCAAATTATTGCCTCAAACGTGATGAATAGTTCTATTAACGGTTAAAATTGACTTTTTGATACTAAGTAGTAGGCTAATATTGGTCCCTCCAAAAATCAGTCTGTCCCTGCATGAGCTCCTGATACATAGTGAATAGAGGTACTCACGGACAAGAACAAATATGATAGCGAATAAATTAGAGTAAAAGCGATTATTATCATACTAGAATATCTATCGCCGAAACATTCCAATTACTTCACAAAAAAAAAAGGACAACGTTCTTTTATAGGAACGCAGGGGGAACTGAAAAATATTTGTTTGACAAAGAAGTAAACGCGCAAATATCCGTGTAGTCACATTCTGGTATGCGTATACAAATACATCTCACCTCTTCAATAGCAATGTCAAGACTTACGAGTTGAGAAGAAATGGTTTTAGAGTCCCGAGTAAAAAATTCCTGGAGAAAAACAAGTTTTATTATGAAAGAACTAATTGATTCATTTTTGTTTTAAAATAACAATTGACTTCACATGCATGTTACATTCAAACGTGGAATATACACATGTCAAGTTTATGTATTTGTTCAAATTTGAAAGTGTGCCACAGTATATAAACTCAATATTGGTTTCGGCAAGGAAACTTAAATTGGCTTTAGTTGTCATGTTTCAATTCTATCACGGGTAATTCAAAGACCTGCTGAACGATCTTCTTTAAAGAATCGGCAAATTATCTCGTGACGTTGACTCTGCGCATGCGTCGTTTTGCTGATTCTTTAAAAAATTAAGTCAGGAGGGCTTTCAATTATCCGTGGGGGGAAAATGCATCGACAGGGGCAGTAAATAAATATAGGCGCCTAATTATTCATAAATTAATTATTGCATACATGAAGTTGAGGGCTTTTATTTGAGATTTCTTGAATATGCGCAAACAACTCAAATGTATTTCAATATCGTAACTATAATAATTGACCGTGTTTTACCTTATTAATAAAACACCACTGCCAGAGAGTCACGACGTATGTGGGGCCAGGGGGCCAATCGTCTCGTCTCATGCTCCACAAATGACACGGAATTCCTCCCTTGAAAGTCTAGGAAGAAATGAGGAGTTCAGAAAAATACGACTACATCAAATACTGCTCAAAAAATGATATAAACCAACCAAGGTAGCAACAATTAAATTAGGTCTTTACGTTAACCTACTTCTGTTTTTGTTCGCTGCGGTGAGTCTTTAGTAATGCTGTGAACGCATTATCTTTCTGTGAGCAACATTGAACACTGCAAAGCAGAGTATGTCCAGAACATTTACCACAAAACAGGCTACAAAAGGGTCAACTCGACGTTGCACTACAATTGTTTACTCGAGAACACATAAGGAAAAGAAAACATACGATTTCTATATTTTTATGGGTTCTGTAACAGTCAATACGGGCAGACGAGACACGGACATCCCTAAATTTTCCAGAAAATATGGTAACGCCCGTATTATTGTGCTACAGCGCCTTCAAATATATGAGTTAAGTGGCGTTTGGAAAATTCTCATTAGGCCACATGATATGGACATGCATAGTGCGATTCATTTTATCAGCTCTTTTCACGGGCTAAAAGCACGGTTGAAAGGGGAAAAAACAGTGATATGAAGAAAGTATTATGAAAATGATTCTGGACTGCAAAATATATATTCGAGAAACGTTCTGCCGCCAACAACAAGTTGGCGATATTCACTTCCCGCTTTGAAATATGAACTTGGCTTTTATACTCGCTTTAATACTACGACCGCTTTTTTATTTCATTACTTTTCGGGAGACGGATTTGCTGGGCCTTCGTTCGTAATCGTTCTTACCCGCATCTTTATGCGCTTCCGTTCCGGCTGTCTCTTTCTGTTATTTTTCTCCATCTTTCTCTTTTTCTTTCTTTCTTTCTCTCCACTCCTGTCACTTCTCGGGGTTTCTCGTCGGGCCTTTCGGACCGACTAACTGCAGCACTTCGGTATATTAACCCAGCTTTTTGACGAAACACACCACGACTACCGCTAATTTTGTTTTCTTACACAGCACAAAAGGAAACAACCTGCATGATCACGCTGGCGTTATTGAAGGGTATAAGATAATAGTAGTAATCTTCTCAGCGCGTATCATTACATTGTAATCAGAGGGATTGAGTGCTGGTCTGATAACACTCGTAACTGCGCCATAGATTTAATGTACGCTTTAAAACAAGCACAGGTCCAAATCTATTCAGATGAAACGACCATCCAGAACAAACTTACAACTTTCGTGTAGTTCAGCCTCGCAACCTCGGTAGGCCCCATAAAAAATGTTTTCGTCGTCATGGACGACATGTCCGTTGGCTTGAGAATCATTTGCGGGTCAAATTCGAGGTCTTTTATTTTCATTGCCTCGCACACAAAACCTTCCTTAGAAATTTTGTAAACACGGTCATGAGCTGCAGAAAAAGAAAACATGTTTACTTTTGAGTCTGTATATTATGGACCTAAGACAAAACATGTTCCGGCTTTCTGCTACCCTCACCACTGAATACTACTATGGATCTTAGATTTGCGCAGTAACTCATAATAAAAAAAGCTAAGTGTGTGTATTTTCCTTTTTTCGATGGAAAAAAATATATGCTCCCTTTCGGTAAAAGTACTTTTTTAATGATCGTCTTTTGTGTGGTTAGTCTCTAACAAAAAGAGGTTATTGGTGCTTCCTCGCGCATTATAGTGAGTGAGTAAATAAAACAATGTAATGCGCTTTGATCAACGTTGATTCCATCTTCTTCGAACGTCGATCAGGACACTTTGTGGCACAAGTATCCGATGCAAAACTAAAAGATGTTTCCACAAAAACACACCCACACAAACACACACACACACACACACACACGCACACACTTCGCAGTCATTTCTGCCAGAGAGTTCAAGGCAAATATTATGAGCGCCTGGTGGCGCAACAATACACCAGTCGCCCGGGTGCCCACCTCAGCGGTACATTTGCGCCAGAGTGTCTTATTCTAAGCTCATGCAACCCGGTGCAAATATAAATCAGTTTTGCATAACGCCCTGTCCGTAAATCTCTCTGAAGCGCTGTAATGCAATCGAGCGGACCAATCCTGTTTCTCCAAAATTATAGTGCTTCTCCAAAATAAAAGTTTTCGATTCGTCTTCACCTTCAACTCCCCGAACAGAAATAAAAACAATTTCCTCACAACGCATCCTTATTTATATCACTCGACCTTCATAAAACTCGTATACTGGAAGTTTGTTTAACTGCATGTTGCCTAATATGTTCGGCACTAAATCGTTGCGAATAAGCACTGGTCGAATCCTGAGTTTTGTATATTTAGAAGACCAAGACTATCTAAGTAAAATATGAGTAAACTGTGTAGTTTCATGCATATAGCAGTCGTGATGTTGATCATAAGATAAAAGTAACGTGCTATTGCAATCTTCGAAGAATTCGCAAGGCGAATAAATAACATATATTATGAAGTCTGCGTTCAAGTCATAGTGTATAGTAAACGTTCGAGGAGTTCCCGGCTATTGAAACAGAGTTGCCTCCTCTAGAAACCAAAACCTTCGCCTACGCAAAATAGCAAATATAACTGGAGCTCACAAAAATAAGGTGAAAATACCAAGCATTGCAAGTATTTATCACCACTGCCACTGCACTTATATATCTTCCAAACGGCAGTCTAAAACGAAGCGATTTACAGCGCACGTCCCCGGTTTTAGAGTGTATTTGAGTGTTGCCCGACTGCGCCGGACTGTGGGTTTCCTCGTGCGTGAGCTGTAGCAGCCTGAGTAGGCGCGATTGTGGGCGCTGGTGGCGGCTGAATTGCCGCTTTTTATTTTTGCTTTTGCGTTCCAAGGCGTACAGAATTTCTCCAGGTTAGTATGAAAGCATTTTAGAATTTTTGGGAACAAAAACAAAGAAAGAAACGCTATCTTTGGTGTGTCCGTGCGCGACCGAACAAATGCAACTGGAGTGTTTGGTTCATTTTATGTTGATTTTTACGGCACGATATACTCAGCCGTGTCAATCTACAAAGGTCTTCACTGTCGAAAATATTTTGTCACGCAGGACAGTCGAACTGCGAATCCCGGAGAAAAGCTCACCGGAGAAAAGCTCACCGGAGAAAAGCTCACCGGAGATACGCTCACCGGAGAAAAGCTCACCGCAAAACCGGCGGATGCGGAGAAAAGCTCACCGGCCATTGAGCGTATGCGGAGAAAATTTGATCACCGATATTTTTTCTTCTTTTTATATGGAGGCTGTTGGATCGAGCATAACATATATCAATTTATTATCATTAAAATTCGTAAGCTTTGTAAAAAATAAAATGTCCTCTTTTGTAATCTTTGTTAAGCTTATTGGGTATATTGCTCCCAAATTAATAATTGCGGGAGAGTATATTTTGTGGCTTACTCTTTATGCAACGAAAGCCTAAATAAAATCTTTATGAACTTGAAAAACAGAAAAAAGTTTAAAAAAAAAAAAGTAAACGTAATGATGACCGCCTGAAACCTAAAAATCAAAGGTGTAAATGCCGAAAATCCAAAAGTGCACGCGCAACAACGCGGTGCCTGAAATTCTCTTTGAAGCTTTTGTTAAGATTTGAAAACAGGATAAAACAGTCAATAGGATATCGAGGCTTCTTTTTTTCCACGGACATGCACGCTTTCAAGCCGTTCGACCTTCCACGGACTTGCCCGCTTTCTAGCCGTTCGTGCTGCATGGTGTTTCCACACGTTCCCTTTGTGTGTGATAGCGCCTTCTACGGTGAGCCACCCATGACCCTCAGAGCTGCACACTGTCACCGTTGTTACTCGTGAGCTATATAAGAGCTAGTCTTTTGTAACGTATAGGTAGCGAATTGGGCGAGCTGGTAAACGTTATACATGATGAAAACCGCTCAAACGACGACGACGGGGTGAAGACAACAAACACGACACGACGAAGCTGTTCTCGCAACTAAAGTTTTGTTAGTGAAATTGACTGAAAGTAAACAGCGTAGCCGACACTGATGACATCAAAAAACATCTACTTATCTATTAGGTGCTACACAACGAATCCCGGAGAAAAGATCACCGGAGAAAAGCTCATCGGAGAAAAGCTCACCGGAGATAAGCTCACTGGAGAAAAGCTCACCGCAAAACCGGCGGATGCGGAGAAAAGCTCACCGGCCATTGAGCGTATGCGCAGAAAAGCTCACCGATATTTTTTCTTCTTTTTATATGGAGGCCGTTGGATCGTGCGTAACATATATCAATTTATTATCATTAAAATTCGTCAGCTTTGTAAAAAATAAAATGTCCTCTTTTGTAATATTTGTTAAGCTTAATGGGTATATATTGCTTCCAAATTAATAATTGCGGGCCAGTGTTTTTTGTAGCTTACTCTCTAGGCAACGAAAACCTAACTAAAATCTTTATGAACTTGACGAACAGGAAAAAGTTAAAAAAACGCAATGATGACTGCCTAAAACCTAAAAATCAAAGGTGTAAATGCCGAAAATTCAAAAGTGCACGCGCAACACCGCGGTGCCTGAAATTCTCTTTGAAGCTTTTGTTAACATTTGAAAACAGGATAAAATAGGGTGCCTTCATGTGCGCTCTGCTTAGGGTGGTGGCACCTCGCCATTTTGTCACACACGTTTATTTTTATTTTTTGTTCAGAAGCGCGTGAAAGAGCGTGTCCCTGCACGCGCTTGTGGCGCTGACTGTGCTATGGCGGCATTTTGTTTTCGTCGAATCCTTTGTGTTTTCCCCGTGAGCGCGTGCTGTCGGCATGTGGTACTACAAAGGGTGGCATCACCCTAAACAGAAGGTCATTGAGGCACCCTAGGATAAAACAGTCAATAGGATATCGAGGCTTCTTTCTTCCACGGACACGCACGCTTTCTAACCGTTCGTGCTGGTGTTTCCGCACGTTCCCTTTGTGTGATAGTGTCCTTCTACGGTGCGCCAGCCATGACCTTCAGAGCTGCACAGTGTCTCCTTTGTTATTCGTGAGCTATATAAGAACTAGTCATTTGTAAGGTAGGTAGCGAATTGGGCGAGTTGGTAAACGTTATACATGATGAAAACCGCTCAAACGACGACGACGGAGTGAAGACAACAAACACGACACGACGAAGCTGTTCTCGCAACTAAAGTTTTGTTAGGGAAATAAATTAACAGAAAGAAACCAGCGTAGCCGACACTGATTACATTAACAAACATCTACTTATCTATTAGGCACTACACAATATTTGGACCTCAAGCTATTCACCACACCGCTATTCATATTGGCTCGCAAAAAACAAACCTCTTTATCTGATGACAGAGGTACCGACGGCGCACCCTCAGCTGTCAATAAATTGTTGTCTTTTTTCCCGGTGTACGATGTTCTGATTTTATACTTGCGGCTTCATTAATTTACAGAATGGGTGATTACTAATTTCTCAGGAATTAGTAAATATGCCCAATGAACCTCAAGAATATTACAAAAGCGAGGATATATTTTTAATGAAGTGACGAATGCGAATTGTGTTAAATTGCAACGTTTTACGCAGAATCAAGCTAAGCTAAAAAAATATCGGTGAGCTTTTCTCCGCATCTGCCGGTTTTGCGGTGAGCTTTTCTCTGGTGAGCTTATCTCCGGTGAGCTTTTCTCCGGTGAGCTTTTCTCCGGTGAGCTTATCTCCGGTGAGCTTTTCTCCGGTGAGCTTTTCTCCGGTGAGCTTTTCTCCGCCGCCCCTACACAACATTTGGACCTCAAGCGATTCACACAGAGCTATTCATATTAGCTCGCAAAAAACAAACCTCTTTATCTGACAGAGCTACCGACGGTGCACCCTCAGCTGTCAATAAATTGTTGCCTTTTTTACCGATGTACGATGTTCTGACTTTATACTTGCGGCTTCAATAATTTACAAAATGGGTGATTACTAATTTCTGAGGAAATTGTAAATATGCCCAATGAACCTCAAGACGCAGAATCAAGCTAAGCTAAAAAAATATCGGTGAGCTTTTCTCCGCATCTGCCGGTTTTGCGGTGAGCTTTTCTCCGGTGAGCTTATCTCCGGTGAGCTTTCCTCCGGTGAGCTTTTCTCCGGTGAGCTTTTCTCCGGTGAGCTTCTCTCCGCCGCCCTCGAACTGCATGGGTATTTCCCGCTTACATGAAATTCAACGAGTCTCATCAATCGAACAAATATATACGTACCCCACAATGCCGCGTTATCCGAACAGAATATAAGAAAGGTCTCAAATAGCACAGCATTTCTAATGTGCACTGTCGACGATAGTCACTTCACAACGATTGGACTGAATCCGGTTTGTTTTAGGGCACGTTTTGAAAAGCGCTGCTTCGTTACACAGCACCGAATCAAATGGACGAACGTATCTATTCCGTACCGATAACCCGGACCTGGTCCTTTCAGATATTTTTCGCAAAGGCCAGGAACATAATCCAGAAAGGCTTTTCAGGGATTATCTCAACGGAAACAATCCTCAAAGGACGTCGAACGGCCCACGTTCGACGTTCGCTGCTTGTGTTCGCTCCCTTTGTTTCCTGCGAAGATGGGTTCGTTTCCTGCGTTCCCTGGCTCTCACAGTGCAAGATAACACAGACAGGGTGAGCATTCTGAACAGGCAAAGGAAATAAAATCTTTAAAGATGAGCAGGCGAACTCAAAATGCACAACGCAGCTGGGAAGTCGCGCTGACCGGGTTTCCTTTCTACAGCTCGGAGGGGTAGCGAAAATTTCTGGCTCATAGGGGTCGCTGGAGTCGCAAAATGGCGGCGGCCAGAGAGCATTCCAGCGAGCGGTTTCAGGGCGGCACACATTTTTTTTTTTTTTGACCGCAGTATCCTTTTCACTTATCCGGGAAGTTCAGCAGGTTCGGCGGAGAAAACAAGAAAGAGGGCACGTGCAGACGACAAATCGGGAGGTTGCCGTTCTCCATATTTGGGCTGTACCGGCGGGCTGTACCGAACATAGAACTCTCGCTCGCGGCTGCCGTTGTCAATTGATTCACGTACCTAGGATATTCATGGCTACTTCAAAATCAGCCTATACCGCTGTGTTGTTTTATTTCAGTAAATAATCAGTTAGCGTATCTTTGTTCTGTCGCTTCAATAGCAGTGCATGTAGTCAACAGGCAGTACTTATACCCTCAACCACTGCGTTTAATGCGTCAGGAGGGCACGTTTCTTTTTAATATTCCAGACTTTCACTCATTGTCGCTAAAGGCCTACACCAGTACGAACTTTGTATAGTAAAGAAAAAAAAAGCTACAGCAACCCGATTTACATTTCGCCGGATAGGACAGAGCGGCCACTCTAACACAGCTTCCACATTACTTTTTTTTTTTTATTTGCACGGCAGGTAACAAAGAAAATGGACCCAATTCGTTTTTTTTTTTTATAGGTCATAGGCATTACGCGATAACCTGCATATTGAAATCCGCGCATCTGCGCTTGAAACTTACAAAATGACGCGATCGTAAAGTTAAACCGAGATTGAACGCCAGCCAGACGTCCTGTGCAGCCCACTTGGCGAAGCTGACGACGCGCGAGGTGAGAAGAGGAGGGAATTTTTCTCTCTCCGCTCTTTCTACTTGAATGGTCTAGAGCTTTGGTAAATCTTTACTCCTAGTGGTTTCTTAACACTATAACCGTTTTGTTCACACAAGAAAATGCTAAGCGCGCGAGCTCATCATGAAAAGCGTGTATAAAAATCATATCACTCCTTTCATCGCAATAAGCGTCTCGTGAGATTTCGCAAAACTTGAATAAAACAAGATCAACACATTAAGTAAAATGGGTGCTTTAATCGGGTAATTGCTAGCTTAAAAAATCTATATCGAGAAATATAAAATATTTTTTTGGTATTCCAACATATACCTTGATTACATTAGAATATCGTTTTTTGGTGCAGCACCCTGTCCATTGATAAGTTTGATAAGTTATTTTTTTACCTTCGTTATTTCGTTTATTTTTTATCCCTTCAGGTAAAATGCACTTCAAACAACTCCTACTGTAAATGATTGCATGTTGTTAAATTATTAACCCCGAATCTTAAAATACTGCTGTCCGAATGAAAAATTCTTAGGGTATTATTCTAATTATACATCTAAACTAAACGCTTTTTTTTTTTGCACAGAAGCACGATTACGCGGTTGTATTAAAAAAAAAACTACAGTGTTAATTCGACTTGTTAGAGCTTCATTTCCGTAATTCAGTGGTTATAGAGACTATGGTTATAATACGTGGGTCTTATTCTTACTTTGTAGACGTATTTGCGCAAGATTTAGTTCTTTATTAAGAGTCGAATCCCATATTTATTTTGAAGCAATTACAGTAAAGGAATATATACTAAGTATAATATTTTTCCCGCCCTTGTATCACCCGAGTGTTTTTTTGTTTTTTTTTTAATGTAAACATGTCTATTTGAAAAAAAACAGGGGGGTTACGTACCGCTGTTTTTAGTCGTCGTATTAACTACAATGACTGTGATTGGCTCCGCATCCTTGGAAAGCCAGGGAGTGTAATCCAATCTGGAGATGCGTTTATTCACATCGAGCCATCCCTAGAAGAAGATGGAGGAGCATATACAGTTCCCCGACATGATAAACTGAAAAAAAAACTATTTTACCTAAAGGTACTCAAACCAAAAATATTTAAGAACCAGAAGTTAGAAAGTCAGAACTCAATTAAAATTTTAGAAATACAAAAAAAAAAAAGCATCGGCAATTTCAGACGCTATATGCATTTTTCGTTTTCCTTTCTTTCTGAATCACGTGGGTTCCGTATCTGGTATAAGGGACGAAAAAATATTACAATATTTTAACCTGGAATACGCGGGAAACTATAGACAAGGCAAAACAAGAATGTTTGAAAATCACAGGTTTTTTTGGTTTTTTTTTTGTGAACAACATCCAGCGGCGTGGAGATATCAAAGCGACGTTTTAGCGCATACCAGAAGCGACGACATTCAAAGATTGCTGCGACCTCGTGGAAGAGGTATATACCAGAAGCGCGGTATTTCACTTCACTATAAGTCCGACCGTCTAGTCGACACTACGGTTTGATCTAGTCAATCAAGCGGCTTCAAAAGTGCGTCGTCACGGCGCTCGTCGTTTTTGCGCGTTTGCTAACCTCGTGTAAACACATCGCGCATAGTGAATCCCCCATGATCCTATGCTTTCGTTTTTGTGCGTGATTGCTTTAGCCGGGGATAGCAATCCCAGAAAGACTATGAGCGCCATGACGATGAACTTTTGGCGCGGCTTGACTGGTTCCATCGAATAGTTGCGTCGTGAAATTAGTCGAAAGGTAAAGCTGAAGAGAAGTTCCGACTGAATATGCAGCCAGCGTTGTAATACCCAGCATGATGAATGCGTGTAAAAGGTTATGTACAATGTCGCGTCTCTACTATATTTATAGGTGCAAAAGATTTTCCGACCACGTCTTTCGCGCCTTGGCGTGTTGTAATACATTTCAGTGAACTATTATAAAACCACTGCAACAAACAGTTAAAAAAAATTCCTATATTTCTTTGATGTCTCTTTCGTCTCATCTGCCTCTTTCCTGGAGGAGTAATATTGGTCGCTATTGCACTCTCTAATAAAAAAATAAAAAAAAGGTTTCTTTTTTTCTTTTCTTTTATGAGCTGGACGCTCCTCACAGGCCACTTCGAGACGACACGTTGAGGGTGACGCTACGTGAGTGCTGAGGCAGACCTAAAATAAAGGTAATACAGCTGTTCTCCGCTTTTTATACATCCAGGGAAACAAATTGAGTATCTATCAATCGCACGGCAGGCTGTCTTTTGACGAGAAACTTTCCCGGCTTCTAGAAAGTGTAACCACTGCACTTTTTTTCACAAAATAAACGAGGCATTGACATCTTGAATTTAAACTACCAGGAGTTCATTAAGTTCGGGGTGGAGACAAAAATGCAAGATGATTTGAAACGAGACTTAAGCCGTGCCAATTTCACTGTGATAATTTTCCCCTATTTTTTCATAAAAATATTTCCGGTGAAACTACTATCCGAAATTCTTTTTTATTACTGTGTGTCTGTAATTTGGTGCTGTTCATGTAGGCTTTTTTCGTTTTTCATCAAAAACATAAAGCAAATAAAAATGTATAACGAGCAAAATGCGGTGCTCTTCTACTCTAATCGGAAAAGCGGGTTTTCTTTTTTTTTTTTTCTTCTATGCTCTGCTTTTGTCATTTACGCGTGGTATCTTATGCAAGCATATCAGAATGCGAAGGAAACAAACATAAACTCGTATGTGTGTGCGCACGGGCACACAGACCGACAAATAGAGTGAATGAGAGAGACAACCACAGACCGATTTAATAGTAAACGTGAGGTTGATCTTACATCGGTCATTATAACTATATACGTTTTGTCTTACACGAGCGTGCCGCTTTTTTATGAAATTTTGTCACTGCCGTGCGCACCTTAAAAGTAAAAGAAAGAGTCACTGTCGTTAAACAACCCGCGAACCGTGCTCGAGTACAAAAAACACAATGTTACGTCGGTGAATTTTTTTTTTTTTTTTTTTTTGGGGGGGGGGGGGGGGGGGGGGTTGCTAAGAGATTTTAACGGTTTGTTTGGAATTGGCCTGAAAACTACTGGCAACAGTGGTACTGTGTGCACGAAGGTGATACAAAACAATCTGGCGGGAAGGAGCTCTTTCCTTGGGGTTTTCATAGAAACTACGGAGTTACTCTTATTTTGTTTTGCTGTAGTATTACAATAAATATATACAAATTTCACAATAACCTGACATATCAAGCGCCTTTTTTTTTTCTGGTATGCCGTGGTGTATATGAAGAAAATTGTTCCGGATTAAACAGCACTTTACAATAAAATTAAATTTACGGTGATTTTTTCTTTTACACTTTATTCAGCGATAGGTTGGATTAAAGAATCAATTTTTTTCTGTTTAAAAAGACTAGTGAAGAACGAATAATTTTTAACGTAAAGTAATTTAAATAATATATATATATATATACATATATATAATTCAAAGTTTAAAAAAACCTGAATTTTAATTTATGTTTTCTTCCTTTGATCTTTTCCTTTTATGAAACTAGATTAACTAAATTAGTATCTAGCTTAAACCACTGCTTCTTGTTCTGAAACATATGTAGATCGAAAAATTCCACACCTTAACGGTCGTTATCCATTCTCTTATATAACGCGAAAAGCAGAAGATTCACAAAATATTTGGCAGCGACGTTTATCTCTAAAGTACTATAATGCATGAAATGCGACATCTAAGGTGCGAGCGTTTGAAATTATTTAGGAGACTTCAAACTGTCGTTTCAGGGAGTGAAGAAGAGCCTTCAATTTTATCCATTTCGCCGGTACATTGAGCGATGAAATTGGGTGTATATAAGTCACGTCATGTTAATTTTCCTGCTGGATGTAGTACAGAAAATGTATTGATGTGTGAATGTAGATAGGAAGCGTCTGGAGACGGCAACACGCCAGCAGATGTGAAGCCAGGGGAGCCTTCCTGCCTGAAGGGAAACGCGCCCCAGAGATGACCGAAACCAAAAGACGCTCTAGACCTTTCCAATGTTTACAAATCCACAGCTCAGCGTGCGATCCCCAAAGCTCAGCACGCGCGTGTGCGTCGCTTCGGAAAGCGAGCAAATCACGCGCGATACACACGAACAATGAAAATGAAACCAGCCAGCAGCCCTTTTCTGGAAAGGTCTATATGACAAAAAAGACAGCTGATTTAGCGAAAAAAAAAAAAAGCTGTTTAAGCTACCCTTGGGGGCATTCCCACCAATTGCGACCTTAACTTCCGGCTTCATCTGAGGTTTTCTCGCTAAACTGGCTTGGGTCGGTATGTCGCCTACTCCTCTTCCTACCTCCATGGATGCATGTGTCCTCGAGTTGTCAGGTCGCGTGAAGTAAATATATTTGATAATTTTAGCCTGGAAACTAAATGGGTATAGAGATCTCGTGGCGGCAGGTCACGTCACGTCAAATTTTCCGCTAAATTTTGCGAGGAAAGGAAATTGGTGTGTAGGTCAAGTTACGTCACGTCACATTATGTTAATTTTTAACCGATTTTGAAGGGAAACTATTTTGGTGTGTAGATCACATGACGATAGGTCACGTGATATCAATTGAAGTCATGTGACTTAAGCACCGATTCAGTTTCTTCGCTACGTTTAGCGCGAAACGCACGGACAGAGGAAAATTTTGCTAAAATAGACTTTCTAACGGAAACTAAACTTCTGTTTCCGTTAGAAAGCATTTTATGCAATAATAACAGCCCCCCGTCGCCCATATTTTGTTGAACCGGGCCCCCCCGACTGCTAATCCGGCCCTCCTAGCCCTGCGTAGTAACTTCAAGAAACTTCTTCGATATTGGAGACGGAGTCTGCCTTTAACCTTTGATTTTTCGCTTGGTTTCCGGCTGGGTACAGTGGATTCGACATTCTTCCCCAGCGACACTGCGCTGAAGAAGATCATCTCCCTCGGCTTCATCGCATCGCGCCAGCGTCTGCCACAGATGCACACGGCACTCCTTAATGCATGCCGTAAGCTGTCTTGGTATCCCCCTGACGGGCACTTCCTCGTACTACGCATGATCGTGAATAATTTGATGCCCTGAGCCAAGACCGTTTCAATGATAAAGACACAGCGGTCCAGCCATTTCTGTGATAGGGACACGGCCAGTGTTCGTGTTCCAATCGTTCAACTTCTTATATTGAGTGCGACGGCGTCGAAGTGAGAGCCCGACCGGAGCGAGGTGCGTCAGTTTGACTTGACTCTCCGCTTTGAAACTTTTTGTACCACTCGTTCACCTGTCAGAGTGATATACAGACTCCTGCATACTGCTTCAACATCCTGCAATGAATATCCGCGTGCTTTTCTTCCTTTGCACAAAAAAGACCGGATTACTGAGTTCTGATCCTCCTTGTTGCAGACATCAAGGAGGTGTCCACTTTGGGAGTGCTGTGGTCACGTGACTTTTTCAGCAGGCCGCTGGACCGGTATGCAGAGATTTTGTTAGTGGAGGGCCGAACAATATTTAGGTACTAATTTCCACAGAATTTAGATTTCTTATATCTAAATTCCCCTTACTTTCTGATTCCGCTTTGCATTTGCTTAGCAGAACATTTGACACCACATCTACAACAACAAAACTAAATTCACCCTGGTTTTCTCATTTCTACAATATTTCATGATTTACTCGTGTAACACTCCTATCGAGGGATTGAGCGGAATGTTTCTTTGCGAAATTCATCCAAACATTTGTCGTGCGCCACCGCACGAATGACCGTTATTGGTCAGTGACACTCCTATAACGTGACACTAGATATGTTTTTGGCATACTTCATATGGCATCAACAGTGCTAAAGAAACACGGACAGAGAGAAAGAAAAAAGCAAAACAGGGCAGGCGCTAACTCGCAACAGTCCTTTGTCGCTAGTCTCATCGCCTCCATCCGCGTTTGTTTGCTTCTCTTTTTTTTTTTTTTTTTTTGTTCTGTTTAAATATCTCGAAGGAAAAATCCATCAATGTAACCCTGCTTGGCAGTCAATGTTTTCTAGTGGACCGCTCACTGTGCCTGACTGTACGTCAAGCATGTCTGATTGGCCAACAAGTTACTCTGACCGACAGTCAAACTCCAGTCAGACCCCGCTTGTCGGCTTTCTGATGGTTTCCTGGTGGCAGTCGGCCGCCGCGAAATGCCATCAGGACGTCTTGGTGGTGATTCTGACTGTACATCGATTGTCTCTGACTGTACGTCAGAAAGCTTTGACGTGCAGACAGACGTACGGTCAAAGGACGTAAAGTTCGTTCGAATACCACTATTTCGTCAAATCTATGAATACGAAAAGTAATCTATGCACGAGAAAACGATTTTGGGACGTGAGCCCATAAAACCGCTGACGTTAGAGATATGACACGTAACCGACCGACAACCTTGATCAGAAGCCCGCCGAAGCGCCGAACACGACACTTCGCACTTCGCTTCACCCATAGAGGCTTCGCCGAGCTTTCATGAACGATCGCTCTCGACTCATTTTGTTTGCCCGCTTGCTCCAACCTGTCGATCCTGCCCGGGCTCTACAATGTCTTATGTTTTAGTAAAATTTCTACTCAACAAGACCCAGCCTGTTGTGAGTTCCGACGATGTAAGGGACTTAAGCGGTGTAGTTTAAGACGACAGGGTGTACCAGGTCTACTGGGCCGGTGATGCGCGAACAAAAGAATCGTTCTACGACGCGAAAGTACTCTACATGGCAGGTGAGTAGAACTGAAGTACGGCGAGTGATGTACGAGTGCTTTGCATAACATGCTGACGGCTTAACCGCATTTGCAGCCAAAGCATTTCGTATAAAACGAATAGTCAAATCGAGTTTCTCTAACGGTGGCGTAGCATAGCAATAAAAAAAAAAAAAAAGGTGGCGTAGCATAGCGGTTAAGGTGTCCGATTTGTACGCATGTGGTCGCGGGTTCGATGCGCGGTGGTGCTACTTTTTTTTTTTCTCGAACATTTTGTTTTATCGAGGCATTTGGCGATATTTATGAGTGCGTATAGCTTTACTCTTATATAAATGCTGCCCTTGTTGATGAAATTCCCTTGGCAGTGGAAATTCCCTTGCCATCACGTTCCACCAAGGCTGCTGACTGGCAGTCAGTGTCCCAAATTACGTAGCTTGATGGAATTTTCAATAGGGATATATATCATGAACAACGAACTCCAACTAGCCCATGCAATTCTCGACCTTATTATTGTTTTTGACACCATCATCTAAAATAAAATGTACACGTTGAAACCGTACTACTTATTTGGTCATTCGTACTACTCACTTTAATGACGCTAACTTTTTTTGTCTTGGAATTCCAGACCCGTGCCGAATAACAAAATACTCGCATATTCCAAAAAATCGGCTGCGGAAGCCATTTTTTATAGTAATTCCCAGGACAGGAAACTCCATCTGGTATCTGCGAAATGACAAACAGAGATATTATGTAACCACATAAAAAACACAAACATGAATGGTACTAATATACAATCTTCTGTCAGGAGTGAGTAGTTTCTAATTAACCAAACTGTGTACTCTATGGTCGACTTATACCCTGGTTACACTAGCGCTCTTAACTGTCATTAAGTCAACGATCGTTGGCAACCCCCAACTGTCATTGATCACAACAAATTTGTCCGGTGTTACATGGAACATGGGTCTAGCAATCCCAGTTGAGATGCGCGTCAAGGCGAAACCAAAACTGATGTCACCTTAGTTTTTCTTAAAAAGTGAAGCAAATGAATTGCATGCCCACATTTTCTTTATTATAAACGTTTAAAACGAAAAATATGTACTTTTCTTGTTTTTAGAGTAAATAAACGCTAACCAGACCGTTTCACACGAATTCAAGCAAGAGTGACATCACGAAAGTCTTATCGGCACCGACATCACAATGGCCGCCCTCGCTGAAGTGAGGTTCCTGCGTCGTGCCGTGATCGTTCTATGGCAGCTCTGGCCCCCCGAAGCATACCTCTTTCGACAATATTTGCTTCTACGATACATTATAGATACTTCCCCCGATCTTCCGCAATAGTAAGCGCTTCGCTGGCGCTGGCCATGGGCGGCGATGCGGCGGATGCCGCCATCTTTAGCTTTATTGGGGCGAGCCCCTATGAGTTATACTTTTTACCTTAGGGTGTATCTCAGGAAAGGCTACAAGCGCGAGCTCCCTACTCTAGGGCACATCTCGGCGGCAGCTGCCAACGCTATGAGCTCGCGCTTTTAGCCTTTATACAACATAGGGTGAACCAGAGTATAACTCAGGTAGGACAGTTCAGTTGAACTCATGATTATTAGCGGCTCAATGACAGTTGGCGCCGCCATGTAACTCCGGCCGATCACGACTGAGTCAATTGTCGTTGGCCTAATGACAGTTAAAAGTGCTAGTGTAACTAGGGTAATAAAGAGGTAATGAAGTCCTAGTCTAGCCCAAGTATACTCGCATGGGCCGCCACTGATTCAGAAGCTTTTTTTGTCCCAGTGAAGTTGCGAGGAGGAAAGTGGACTATTTCTTTCAGTCTTGCCTTCGCAAAGCTTGATGACGTAATTGTGGTATCGAAACCACCCGCCTGACGACAGTCGAGCGCGGCTCATGAATAGACCTATTGAGGAGTTTCAGCGAATATAGGGGGCGCTCCGATCGATCCAACATGGCGGACAAGAGGGGGATAGATTTGCGACGCCCATAGACCGGTAGCGTATTAATAAAGCAAAGCGTGTCGTTCTCTGTTTGTTGCCGTGTGAGAGACGATCATCGTTTCAACCAAGACCTACCGTGATGCTACAGATGAAGTGTTCAAGCCAGTCGAAGGCAAGAAATCTTGCCATAGTCAAGATATGTGTGCAAGTGTTCGACGTGAGCTCTCAAGATGGTGCAGCTGTCAAGTTGAACCGAATGTACGCGGGTCCAAAGAAAGGTACACATCAACAATTTTTGCGCGTTGAAACTATGACGCGTACTTTATCTACAACTAAACTTATCGGTCTGCGGCTACAAACATTTTCGTTGACGTTGCTTAGATGATGTAACCATTCAGGCCTCGCATTAAAAGGTGTTGCGAACTCTTCGGTTGTTCTAGTCAATTGTGCTAAAAAGCGGTTGGATGGAAAGTATGACATCTACAGCATACAAGGGACGATTGAGGTCTTTATCCTGCGTTCTATGTATCGAAACATCAGTATCCGTGGTGTTATATTGCGATCAGCTGGTCGCCGATCGTCCTGTTCGAAACATCGGTATCCTTGGTGTTATATTGCGATCAGCTGGTCGCCGATCATCCTGTTTTTACGCATAATGTAAACAAGCCTCGGAAGCGCCAATTTCATTTCAATGCGCTTGTGCACCCCTACAAGCCTTGTTTTGGCTCTTGTGCAAAGCTTTATTGTAATAGCAATAGTCTCATCGGTCATTCGAGTTGTATGTGCCACGGTGATATCTGCTGACAAACAAGCCTGTATTAAATGCGAGAGGGAGAACGAAGGTAAAGCTTTTTTGACTGTTTTCTTTTTACAGAACAGGGCAAAGCTTCTAAAACAAGAGCAACCTAAGCTGATATTTGAGTGTGCTCAAGAATGAATGGTAAAAGGTGATTATGCTAAGTGGCAGATGTACGCAGTTGATTTTTTGTTTGCCTCTGCATTGTAAATTGGAAGGCATTTATCAGCAGAAGACACATGTCCTTTTGAAAATGTCTTTTATTAGGGCAAAAATAGGTTTTCATACACAACCGAAGAGTTCGCAACACCATTTAATGCGAGGCCTCAATGTTTACATTATCTAAGCAACGTCAACGAAAATATTTGTAGCCGCAGACCGATAAATTTAGGTTTAGATAAGTAGGCGTCATAGTTTCAGCCTCAAACACGCATCATTGTTGATATGCACCTTTCTTGACGACAACTGCACCAACGTGAGAGAGCCCACGTCGTCGAACACTTGCACACATGTTGACTATGGTATGGCAAGATTTCTTGCTTGAATAAGTGAAGATCATCTCGCTACGACTAGCCACGACCACCCACCGCAGCGATGCAGGCGTCGAAGGGGCGCAACGCAGTCAGTCGCCGTCACCCGACGTTGCTTGTTTAGCATTCACGGCTTTCCGCCCAGGTGTTTCGTTTGTACTTGGCACCGAGTGTTATTTTCTGTGCTTATGTGTGCTTAGTGGCTGGATATAAGCCTCAAGAGCAGCTCTTCAGGCTCAGTAGCGTTCGCCGAAGAACTTCTGAAAAAAATGCCACCCAGGAAAAAAGCACGAAGACGCAACGCACCAGCTTGGCGGACTATGCACTGGGCGCGGAAATCGGGCCCTGCGGATTATACACCAAATGCAAACCATCTAAAGAAAACAAAAACATTTTTAGGGTCAAATTGGCTTCTGCGGACTATACGCCTGGAAACTGGTGCCTGTTATTATGCATTGTATATTCACTGTTGTTTGTTGTGGCTTGAGACTGCCCTTCTGTAATGATGCAGAGGGGTCCACTGAACCTTGAAATAAAGATATTTAAGCACATGTAGATGCAATGTCTCTTGAAGCCAGATGGTCAGGGAAAAGATGTGCCATAACCTAATTTGCCAACAGCACACCAATGGTCACAATCAAAGCTCACCAAGTCAATGGGCAGTTCTCAACCACAATATGTATTGCCGTGTAATCACCAATTTGGTCCATTAAAAATCTTGAGGCTGTAGCCTATAGCATATCCATTCTGGATCTGCAAAGCTTATGCTGTAGACATGTATCATCACATGAGCATGTTTCTTATCAATCTTAAACGTAAAACGCTAGTTATGCAACGAAATTCCCATATCACATTTTTAGCAAATTGAATGGTCCCACCTGTCACACTGCTAGCTTTGGAAGTAAACCAATTCACAATACCACCAGTGGCATACATCGTGCCAAGCATTAGTGCCGCATGTGGCATAAAAATGTTCTAACTAGGGAAGCAAACTTAATCGATCGTGTTGATTAAAGCACTTAAGTACGGGAGAAATTATCAATCAAAGAAGGTAACTCGAAAGGGAACTTTTCTCGCTGAACGAAAATGACTTTTTATTGGGCGTTCCGCAATGTAAGGCCGAAGACATTCACTCCGTGATCGGTACAGAAGCATTTGCTTAGCAGTCGGTCGTGCGTGCTAAAAACAACAACAAAAACAAAGGTGGATTAGAAACGCGATAAATTCGCCTTTGCACGAAGTACTTACACTCAAAATCGTGTCAACATAAAGCGACTATGGCCCACCTTGCTAGCAGCAATCTTAAAATTTATCCGTGTAGTCGTCACACCCGTGCACCAATCGAAAGCGTTGCTGCAAGCCCCTCCGTCAACTTTGAGTCGCTGTTGAGTCTGAAGAACTGCTCTATGAGGTCCATATTCAGCCACTGAGCACATACACAAGCACAGGAAACAATACTCGGTTTTAAGTACAAGCGAAGAACCCGGGGCGGCAAGCCCTGAATGCCAAACGACCTGCGACGGCGACTGACTGCGTAGTACACAAGTTGCGCTCCTTCGACGCCTGCATCGCTGCGGCGGGTGGTCGTAGCGTGTCGTAGCAGATCGTGTCACCTCTGTTGCTCGTACCGGAACACTAGAGCCGCGTAATATTCTTGCTGCCGAAATTTGTAAGCCTACGTTCGCGGCCAACGCATTTACACAAAGCCAACGCCCAGCGAACCTATCCCCCTCGTTCTCTTTCGGCGACCGGCCGCCAGGGTGGTGACACCGTCGCTGAAACTCCTCAATGGCTATATTACCCAAGAATCAAGGAGAATGCAGGGATTGGTGTTCCACGCGCCACTCGTGCTCAGGAGTAGTTAATTTTCTAAAGCAAAAACCTAAAACAAATGGCATCTTGCACGCGCGTTCGTCAACGCTTTATTTTGGTTATTTACTTCGAATCTTTTATACGGGGAAGGCGTGCGCGTGTGGCGCGTGGAACACCAATCCCTGCACTCTCCTTGATGCTTGGGTAATATAGCGACTTCGGCTCGTAACAATCAATGCCTCGGCTAATACCCAAACGCTTCGGTGATGAGAATAGCTCAACTCCAACAATGCCTGGAGCTCACCGCGCGTTTTCTACTTTGCTAACCCCAGCGCGTGGCTATGATTAACGTTGGCATTATACGATAGGCACCAGGCCACGTGGCCGCTTGTTCTGGCTTCAAGTTGAGGGGATGAACAATGCTCTTATCTCTCAAATTGTTTCGGCAACTGCCATTGCCTAGAAAAAAAAACCGAAGGAGAGTTCATTGGGTAATTCACGTCAGGGAGTGACTCTAAGTTTCATGTCCCCTTAAAGGCAGCAACTGATAGGTCTATGGAGTTGCCGGTGATTACTTCTAATTGCAAGAAATGAATGCAATAACAACTATTTTTCTTCGAATATAATAAAAAAATATAGAAGCCTTAAGCAAACTCATACAACCACATGCACAACAGCACAAGTAAAGCCATCAACAAAGGAATATACTTGATGGGCTTTAAATACCAAGAAACGATTCCAATCAATCCAAGATTTTGCGTAACTTGAAAACAATATTGTGCCCGATTTTTTTAATGGCGCACTTAAAACTGAAACATTGGTGTAACCAAGCGGAAAATATCTTTTGCTGTGAGCTGCGTCATCTGTCGGATTGCACTCGGTGGTAATTAATGCGTCGACCTTAATCGGGCCTTGCGTTTGTGGCCCACGAACCTTTTCCGAGAAGAGTTTCGAGCATACCCGCGGACGTTGTTCGTGAAGCTCGCACGAGCTGCTGCAGCAATAGGCGCAGCTAACACCATAGCTTGAAAGACGTAGTACTGATTATTTTGCAACACCTGGCGATGGCCAGAGCGGGCCACATATTGGACACAGCGTTCGGTCGGATCTCGTGTTCGAACTGACTGAACTCGAGATGCAGCCGAACAGAGCGCGGGTCAGAATATGTAACCCACTCTGACCCTCGCTATGTGATGTAGAAAATTCAGCACAACGGTTTTCTATATGGAGAATGTTGATCTATATCGATTTGTTTATGTTCAGAACTAATCTTTTGTAAGCGTGGTTTCGTTAATCAAACAACATTACCTATATTATATCATTAACTCTCGAGAACATTACGTTAGCATTGATCAAATAGCTTCATGGGGTTGCCATAAGGCAGCGAATATTTTAACTTCGAAAGCTGTGTCCCTGATGCAAGTCGGACATGAAAAATTAACGCGTGCCGTTTGTCGCCAAGAAATAACTTTTAGAGGTGTCAGTGCTTACCTCAAGAAGCTTGTTCACGGATGACTGACGGATGAAGTCGATGCTAAATATCCTCGTGGTCATTGATTCAGTCTTATGCGTTGCAAGTTCAATCATGTAGGAGACCTCCCAAGGGACTGCAAGGGTCTCATTTATCGGCGTGTACATGGCCGACTTTAGATCTGCAGTCAGCAAGAAAGAGATCAGAAAAATTGGAACTACTTCGACGGGACTTTCTTTGAGCTTCAAAGATAGCATGAAACAACGTTATCTTCGAATAAAATGAACAAACAAATGGACCTCGGAAGAAAAGGGCAATCTCGCAGTAAGTGGGTGGGTGCAGCTTTTGGCTCTCTTCGCACGTGTGTTGGGTGACTACACCTACTGCAGTGGCTATTCTCTGGTTGTTTTGTAAGAACGGCTCACGTGAGCGGGGTGACGGCCTGGCCCACGCGTATCCTTCGGAGCCGGGCTGTGGCCTATCGGTCGTAACAGGGCAAGACCGATTGGGTCGCAGTCCCGCGTGGCCCCTACCCACCAGTTCAATCTAGCTCTTCTGTTGATTCTAGTAACGTTCCGTTAACTCGTGAGCTTCTGGTGTTCGTGTTCTAATGCCCCCAACTTCTTCGTGGCATAGCTTAAAGACCTTAGTGTATAAAAAAGACACTTCCGCTCAAGAAACAACTCATCACCGCACAGGAACTTCTCTGTCAGACCCAGTCGTTGATTAAACGTAATAAGGTTTACCGTTGCGCCCAATTCTTTTGTATAAAGAACTCGGGGTCAGGCGCAAATTCAGAGCAAAGTCAATTTAATCAGAACCACAAAACATTGAAATATCGCACGAACAGATGTTATTGAGCACAATGTAAATACTCTGTAAAAGTTTCATTGATGTAGAAGTTCGTGTCCTTGGCTTGTAACGGACAAATAAAAATGGTAAAATTCAAAACAATGCTGAGCTAACGAAAAATGTAACGACCTCTAAGTTTAGATAAAATCGGTAACATTACGTTGTTCCAATTTCAAAGTGGTAAAAATTCTCCAGAACGCTTTATTGTCTGATGAATGAACAGGTGATGCTATTTCGTTACTTTTTTTTTTTTTTTTAAACTTCAATAAAATAGTAAACTCGGCCTGTTGGTAACGATTAAACAAGGTTGATGAAAATCGTCTTCAAAAAATGGGAGCGAAGAAAGGAACAAACACGACAGCTCCGTCCTGTCGTGTTTTTTTCTTTTCTTTTTTCCTGTTTTTTCGAGCTGATTTGCATCAACCATGTTTATTTTGATAACGTGTAGAACACAGTATATTATGTGGGTTTTCTCTGTCTCTTTTTCTCTCTTTCACTCTCTGGCTCTTTCTATTGTCCTCTATCTGCTCACTTCCTGATACACTCTTTCTCTCATGACGTAGAGAACCAGCGCCTTGATCAACGCTGGTTGATATCTTGGTATTCCTATGAAACCTTTTACTGCCCCAAACTCCTAATTAATCGGAAAAATCAATCCCACTTCGAGCAAATTGTCCTTGCTTTGTTTGTACAAACAAACAGGCGTCTTTACCTTTAATTTCGAGTTGAGGTCTCGAAGATGTGACTTGTGGAGGTGGGGCAGTTGTACTAGATGAACGGTTATCTTTCAGCGTTTCATTCACTGTAGATAGAGCGAAGACAGATCAACTATCTCGCAGCAAAGCATCACACACTGATCAGCCAAAACATTACGACCACCTATCTAATGTCATATTGATACACTTTTGGCGTGAAAATTCAAAACAGTTGCAAAGGTCATCTGTGTCGGAGTTTCATATCAAACGAAGTAAAATTAACTGCTTGCTCAGAAATACTTATATACCTTGAACTATACGCTGTATAGGGGTCATATGAGCCACACGTAGCCGCCTATTTTGCTTCTTCAAGCGGGAAAAATCATTCTGTTACGTGACTTGGACGTGCAAAGCCTCGGCGTCTACTAAAAGTTCCACCGTCGTTTCCAACTTTTTGATATATGTGCAACGACAGCAGCTCGGGAACACCGGGCATTATTTGCAGTTTCTGAGATAATTGTTGTTCTGAGCCTTCGGGACATCACGATCTGCCCTCTGTCAAAGTTTCCTTGATCAGCAGCCTTTCTCCATATATGCAAACATAGTCTATAAAATGATTCCCCTGTCACCCCGCAACCGTTAAGTACCATCCACATCAGCAGGTGGTAGAATAAGTGGACGGCGCTTCAGATAGGCGCACTCATTCACACTGTGTAGGGGTGGTCATAATATTTTGTCTGATCAGTGTATACGGCACCTAAACCAAATGCTCGTAAGTAACACAACTAAAACTCAATAGTTATTAGATTTGCTGAAATTCACGAGGCCATTAGGCGTAAAAATTTTAAAAGGTGAGCAAAAGCTCACCGTAGAAAAACTCACCGGACATAAGATTGCCGAAAAACAGCCAAAAGAAAAGAAGCAAAATCTCAGCTAGCAGCGCAAGACACAAATTTGAGAACGGTGAATGCTTTAAATTTGGATTTAATATCAGGATTAATTATTTCTACCAGCAAGATACCTTAAAACGTGTCTAGAGTTTTCAGGGGGAAAACTAAAGTGAAGAATGATCTTAAAGAAGGCCACCGAGCTTTTTGCCTTCCAAACAGATATATCGGTCGCTTTGAATTAGAGGGTTTTATTATAATTTAACAATACATCAATATTAGTATTAGCAATCTGGAAGCGTATGCGCAGCTACTATATGTTTGCGCCAAATGTTGCTGGCTAAGAGGTCTCTGTCTGAACTTTGTGAGAATTCTGCTGCAGCACTTTGCAAATCCCTCAGACACTGCATTATTAGCAGACTAAGGATTGGTTCACACTTTTCTGTTTGTCTACAACCGACTGCACCGCAACCGGTATGTAAGCCTCCTGCGGCTGCTTACGACCAGCTCCCCCGCTACAGCGCGGCCCGTCATGACAGTCACAAAAGGCTTAAATGCTTTTTTTAAGTCCATCCGGCCGCAAGTAGTCTCAAGTCACATAATTATTCTTAGGATAATCATGCACCTGCGCACTTAGAGGTAACAGGCAAAGGCTTTTTCATGTCCTGTGTTGCTTTCTACTCTTTGCGGTTTCATTGTCGCTAATTTTACGTTAATATGTATAACGGTTAAGAGTTGAGCTTATTTGTACAGTGCTAATCACACTTTTCTATAACGCGCGAGCGTGCGGCTTTCTCCGGGGAGCGCTAGACTGGTGGCATTCGCGGAAACTAAGCTAGTCACGTGGCGCAACATGGAACGGCCCGCTCGAGGGGTGTCCTGCGTACTCTACTAACTTGATAAGCGATAAAAGTAAAGTGCTTAATTATAATTTTCGTTTTTTGATGACGACATCATTGTATACGCCTTCATGCTTTAGATTGCTTATTGTTCGAGCAATGATGTCTGTAAAAAGCAGCTGGCGGCGAACGCGGCGAGCGCCTTCCGCGTTCGCCGCCAGCTGATAAAGTGGGCAGGACACCCCTCGAGAGGGCCGGTCCATGTTGTGCCACGTGACTAGCTTAGTTTCCGCGAATGGCACCAGTCTGGCGCTCCCCGGAGAAAGCCGCACGCTCGCGCGTTATACACAAGTGTGATTAGCACTGTACATACTTGTAAATATATCAGCTTGAACTTTAGTTGATACATCGGCCAAACAGGCCGATGTATCAACGACAGAGCCCGTGAGCATGCAGCGTCTCTAAAGGAAAAAGCGGCAGGACATCTGGCAGCTCATTGGAGGACATGCCAGTGCAGTGTAGCTTTGAACAGTACCACCATTCTTGCAAAAAACAACCATCCTCATGCACGCGAAATGCTCAAGTCGCTCGCCATCGAGTAGCACGCCAAGGATTGTGTCAGCACGCCATCAATCACCATACACAAAAAAAAGACAATACCTACGGAATGTCACGCCCCAAACAACAACAGCACGAGCATGCATGTAGTGGGTTAGTTCAAAAACAATAATTTGCTAGGAGTACTGCGCAAATGATTTGTATATATTTTTGTATAAGTGTAAATATCGGAAGTGATCTTTAATAGTGGAATAGGGCAATTCATATAATAGGTTTATCGCGCTCCACTTGGGACTCAAAAGGAAGGAGCAAAAGCGCAAGGAAGAAGTTTACACTAAAACATCATTGGTAGTCAGCTGTGTGTCATATCCTGTCCTTTCTGTCTTTGTGTTCTAGTTATTTCTAAAGGTTCAAGCTGATATATTTACAAATCAATATGTAGTTTTCGTAGATCGTTCGGATAACTCCGATGACAATACCACGCCACTGACGCCATTGCGCATGTATCGTATCGTTATTAGGGAGCTTTAGTTCATCGTTTCGATACCTTCAATAACCATGCTCTATAACATGATGATGTATGCGCAAAGCCGTCGGCGGAGTATCGGATATTGTAAGAGGGGTTATTGGAACAATCTATACTAAAACTCCCTATCGATATCGTTTTGGAAGTATCAGAACGATGAACGAAAACTCGCTAATTTCTAAAGGCCCGACAAAGCTTCCGAAGCTCGTCGCACGCCCGTAGTAACACTCCGCGACATCGCTTCGCGCCCCACTGCTCGGGAACCATAGTTTAGAAACTGCAGTTTAAAACCAGAGGAAAGAAAAATTAACTTACACGTCCAAGTAATCACGGGCTTCATATATTGTTTTTCAGGGTCTCGGATGTCCAGATCAAATGTCCTACAGGACATGTTCCGTACGAGCTGAATCATTGTTTTGCTAACTTTCACTCTCCGTTGTAAGGTGAGAATGTCACGCAGAAACGTGTACTTTCGTTTATCCGGTCCACGAAGTACCGTAACTAGGTGTTTTTTATCTTCCCAGTCCTCTTTGTCGGCAGCTTCGCATGTCGTGAAACCATCTGCAAAACAATATTCTATTTTGCAAACAAAAACAAATCGCTATTTGCCGCGTATCTAAGCTCTAAGTGCGTAGCACCTGTACCACAGTCGTCGGCATCAGCAAGTTCGCATGTTTTAATATTATCTGCAAGGCAAAATCTAATCTTAAACGTCCAAAACATCTCTATTTGTCGCGTTTGCCTAATCTTAGGATATTTCTAATGTTTTAGATTCACATCTAATGAAACTCAAACAATCTGCTATCGGCTTTACTTAAAAAAAAAAAAAATTTAAAGCCGGAATTAAAAACAATCAACATAAAGTCACCATGAAATTACGTTCCCCGAAATACGTTTTATACAAGACAGAGCACAAAGGTGATTAACCAAAAACCACGATTGGATTGTGTAATGGCGTACTATTATTTTTCCTCCTCCAAACACATTGTTGATTATTACACCCATTGCGCCAAATGGCGACGCACTCAGTACCACTGACGTTGAATCGCTGTACGCACAAGGCACGGCTTGTGCTGCACATGGCAAACTATTTTAAGATTAAAAAAATTTGCATCTCGTCATTCTTACGTCGTTTATCGTGTCCCGGAGGATAGAGAAAACATCTCCTTCATTAAAAAATGTCGCGATTCTCCAGCATAAATGCGAAGCAAAAGTCGAGCTTTTTCCCCTACCTGCAGCCGCGGGTGGCAGCCGAAGGAACTACGGCGAGAAGCTTACGTGACCTCGCTCGGCTCTAAGCTGCAGCATAACGCCCGCTAATGTCAGCAGAGAGAGGGAGAGGAAGCGTCCTCCGAGAAAGCACACGGGAATTTACACGGCATCCCGAATTACGTCACTAGGAGTGCGACCAGGTGTGACCCTGAAGACTGGAAGTGAGTTGAGGAATGCCAGAAATGACAATATTTATCTTTTTTCTCACATCTAGGACACGGAGGCGAAATCGTTTTTCTGTTCTTTACTTTAGAAGTGTCAGAAGGCAACTTCCAAAACGTTTTGACCAAAGTCCCGAAATTGTTGCAGCCACCCTTTAAAGGCCCCAGGCTAGCGGTTGTACTGCACCGGCTAAATTGCTCATCTACAGCTGAGAGACAAGTCGCCCGTTGAGGCAGACCAAGTTCATGCTGTATGAGCATCCACACACCAATTTATTTTTACTGTGAGGATAATCCCTACACTCTACTTCAACCGTAAGTTTAACTGTTATGTCAAAACACCCCAGACCATCCGTCTGTGAGAACAGACGCGTGTTCATTAGAACAAAATGTTCTCTCTTTGTTCCTTATGTCGCTCTTTTGTTATTCCTGTAACTTACCAGCGCCCTCCAATTTGTCCAGTGTAAAACCTGGTTAAGAAATTTCCCTTCACTGCGCTGCATTGCGTCGCCTTCCGTTGGGTCTTACCACAACACATTGTACGGCCCTCGGTTCTGGGAGCAAATAACGCGTAGTGGTATATGGTGCTTTATCAGACGTAAGCGGTCGTAACACGAGTCGCCCTGTCTGAACCAGACTCAAAACTGCCCAGGCAAGGCACGTGCTCTGAAAGTTGCCAATACGAACTCAAGGCACATGTTGGCTGCGAATCGGGAGAAGTCAACGCAGCTCCTTTTTTTATGTTCTGAACATTATAGCGCGAGAAGAAAACAAATATAAGGCCCTTTTATTAGGAACATAAAATCTACAGTCCAACTAGCACTGGTAAGCACATAAAAACAGTGGTTCATGGCCTGTTTAAAGTCGTCAAACGAGTACAGTGGGGCTTGCATTTCTAGTATAAAGGCGATACGTTGTTGCCTCGCTTAACCGACAAAAGACTGAAAACCCTGTAAAAATTGAGGCGTATCTAAGGCATTCGAATAACTACTGCGAACCGAAGAAGGCATACTAAGATGTACCACTTCATAGGATAGGAAGATGGCTACACGTCTATGAAACGATATTGGACGGGCATGTTACTAACTGCATATCGCTTATTTCAGAAAAAAAAAATGCGCATGAGGCTATTCAAAGACTGGATTTTGGCTTTGAACTTTCTTCGAAAATAGAGTGCGACTATTAACACAAAACGTGTTCATGGGCTGAGTTTCGCCAGAAAAGCGTTACCCACGAATGTAACGGAAATTTGTTAAACGCAGGACATGGCAACATGAAGCCTACATAGCTCATATAATGTAATGCGTAGAGCGTGTAGAAGAACGCTTAGTCACAGTTTTTTGTACTTAATCATAAACAACAAGATTTACAAAGCGCCGCAAAAAGAATCGAACCCCACACCGTGAGATACGCAACCTGACACATTTGCTCAGCGTCATTAAAACTTTTTTTTCTATATTTCGTATAATAAGCACTGGGGATAAAAACACCACAGGTCCGAACTTTGGGCTGTTGGGGGCAATAATATTATTTTATACCTGCTTAGAGCGTTCAACAGGCTAACCCCCTCAGACGGGGTCTTTGGGCAGGAGATCGAACTATAGGAGGCGCTCTGACCCGTTTGTTTTCCCCACGCTCGGTGTTTACTCAACACAAGGACTGTGCACATGCCGACAGGCCTTATGGGCATGTTCATGTCATCTTCTACAATAGAGCGCGGGGCACAGTTTAATGTAAAAAATACTAACAATCGACGAAGCGACGTAAAGTGCCGGATCTATCCTCAGAGAATGCGAGCTTGACTCACTTCGGCTTTTGTGCGGAGCTGGGACCGTGCATGCTGCATTGTTCATGCAGGCCTTACTGGAAACAAAAGAGCCCCTCCTCCCCCTCACCGGAAAACACGAACTCCAACCGAACGCTGACGCCGCGTTCGGTTATGTCGGCCGAGCGCTGAGTCATTGTATTTGTTGTCCCCATCAATGTAGTTGTAAAGTTAACCGCTTGGGGCGTCACGATCTGTCCTCCTCCAACCTCGCTGATTTTTTGGTAACTTTTCACTGCAACTCGGTATTTTTTTCACGTAGCTGTAACGATAACTTAAATACTTTTAAGAAAAAGAAGCTAAAAATTTCAGCAAAGATACAAATATTTTTGGCAACCCCCCCCCCCCCCCCCCCCCCCCCGCCTATTTGTTCACCCCTATTTCTGAACACTACAGCGGGCCGACCACTTGCGGAGGTTGGGCTCCACATTATACGGGACAAAATAAAACAAGGACTCAACATTTTTTTGTCGGAACAAAGTGCCGGCGCAGAGGGCAGACGTTTTTCTAGTTTTGTTTTTCCCTTTTCATCGCGCGGAAAAGTGAATTTTGCCCTTGCTTTATTTCACCCTTTTTTGCGGGTGACTCTCTCGCCCCGTCTTCATCCTTTCCGGCCTCATCGAACACCCTCCCCCTCTTCAGCCAAGCGACAGAGCCACCTTGCGGAAACACGCGACACGTAAACACCTTTTGTTTAACGCTGAAGGTGTCGCAGCAGTCGCGGCTAGCTTTCTTTACAAAAGCGAGTCGCCGCCAGTAGACACTGTCTGACCGTGATGACAGTCGATGCTTTCACTGGTCGACCTGCCCTTTCTGAGTGTGTAGAAAAAATTGTGAACAGTCAGCAGAAGTTTTATTTTCGTCGCTGTGAAGCTGTGTTACACGGTCGAGGCGTTTGTTATCCGTTGCATATATGATATAAAATCAAAAAGAGAAGCAAAACGCATTCCGAGACGACTTTCTCTTGCTCTTGTTCACTTCTTTTTTTACCTTGTTTCATACTAACGGTCTTTTCCACTTTAATCAGTTCCAAATAGTTAAGTCTTCTGCTCCCCTCCCAATTATTGCTATGTACCAGTCTGTTCATGCGTATATATATCTCCTGTCAGCTCCTGGGAAAGGGGAATAAGAGAGCTTTAAAGGAAACGAAAAGAACGTCGCAAGAAAGAACAAAAATAGCTGGATGGTAATTAACTCTTGTAGCTCAAACGAGAGGCTGTCATCAGTGACGAACGACAGTTGTTACTGTTGCCCATGAACTGCACTTCGACCTTGAATTTAGTGGCGATAACTTCGCCACTTGCTGCAAACACTGCAAAAAAGTATACGGAGCCGAGAGGTCCTCTTCCTCCAACCTTCGCAAGCACCTCGGAGGAAGTTTTGACTTCCATTTCTGGACACTATCTCTAGGCATGGAGACGGAACGGCGGGAGGCTGAAATCTCAACAGCGCTCTGGAGCCTCAACGGCCTTCCCTCCATTAGGAAAGTTTTCTTACGTCTGAATGCTCCACTGCCGTTCAGCGTACCCGTTGAGCGCATCTCTAGCAAGGGGCGAGATGTGTTCAGCATCGAAAAAACAAAGTTCAGTGATCTTTGAAAAACAATTGCTGCTGCGTTATAACACAAAAAAAAAAAATTATTATTTAGTCCAACGCTTTGATTCAATAAATTCGTGCGACGGTAATATTGTTTATCTCAAGAAGTAAAATGACAGTTTTCTGAGAGACCCAAAATAAATATAGATCGTAGTCATTGTGTGTTGTCATCAAAGCCTTCATCGCTAAAGTAAAAAAAAACGAGAGTATGTTGAAAGCAACTAAGTTACTCGAAGTAACTGTAACTGCAACGCGTTAGTTTTATTTTAAGTAACCGTAACTGTAACTTAAATACATTTTGTCAAACTATCTGTAACTGTAACTAATTACTTTTTTAAAAGTAGCTTACACAAGACAGAGTAGTAGTCCCTATTAAAGCAGGTGAACGGGAGCGTAAGCAGATGTCCCAAGTATTGCTCAAGGAGGCCTGCAGTAGTTGGCAACTCTCGGCGCGCGCAGCTGACTTTCCAAATTGCGAAGCATAGATCCCCGAGTGATATGGCGACGTCAGAGGTCCTGAGTTAATTTATACTTGTCTCGATCATTCTGGTAGATCCAGGAAGTTACACCAGTGTGCCGCGCGTGAAGAGCATCTGAAATCTCCCCAGTATCCTGTAACCAACCACAACCAATCATAACACTCGCAAAATGCATGACCGACACAATATATGTGCTTCCTGGGTTTATCGAAGTAATTGTTAGAAGTTTAAGAAAAAAAAACTTGTCTCTTTCGGAACGCTTTCCGCCTTCTTATTGTGATCAGTGCTCGGCCGCGTCAGCCCAATCCAGCTCCCGAAATGGATGCGAGCGCGACGTCACTCGGACTGCGGTTTGTAACGAGAGATGCGTTGAAGAATGGTCAAGCTCGCGTAGAAGAATGCCCGCTCAAATTACCGGCTATATATAACGTGGACTCAATAAACCTAAGCCTAAATAAATAGTAAATTTGTGCTTTGCACGCTACGGCACTGAAATTCCAACAAAACTGAGGATAGGTGGTGGATTTATCATGTGAAAATACCAAGAGAAAAAAAAACATTTACCTAAATTCAATATTACAGATATAAACCAAAATTGATCAATGGTTCAATAGGCGGGTATTATTTTTATTTATGTTTTTAAGTTAAAGTGAAAAGACATTTAAGCAGTTCTTATGAGTTGTGAATGCGAAAGCGTGAATGTCGTTCTTCCGCTCCTTTAGTTCGTCTGCGGTGTACTGGCGTGGACGGCCACGTTTCACTACTGCCGAGGTTGCGGCCGTCGACGATGTAGATGCCTCAGGCGCCGCGGCCGCTTCTGCTCCTCTCGACGGGGGCCGCAGCTCTATGACGCGCGGCAGTCAATATGAGAATTTATCCATCAGTTCGCTGCTACAGACTACAGGTTTCGCTCCATGGGACAGGCGAATTCAGGTGCCGTTTAGCGCGGCTTCAAAAGCTGATAACGCCGATTCGCTCCATGGGACAGTTAATGCTTTCGCATTAAAACCTTCCCGTGGGCCCCTTGAGCCTTTGTTTGGGCAAAAACATGGCGGCACTTTTTTCGCATTGACCACTGTAAAGTGATCACCTTTTGACCACTGAATCTAACCATTTGAAGTTTAATTCACGCAGAATATCGATAACGAAACGCCACTCACCAAAAGTATGCATGACGAATTTATGTTTCGTATACAAATCTTCAAAGAACACAATCTCCTCCTTGTCCAAAAGTATGCGAAGGGCGGCCTTCCGTTCAACTGCGTCGTATGCTTCCTCAAACACGTTTGTTTCTCTGCGTTTGAATTCCTCTCCTAGTTCAAAGTTACTTCGGAATATCTCGCCGGAAGCATAAAATGACCCTTCGTACTTCGGCAACGCTGTAACAAAAAACAAAAAACAAAAAAAAAGCATATTCTATAATAATGCTCAGAGTAAGGGGTGTTTACACTACAAACATATAGTATGACTTGAATTTCCATAACTGGCCTGGTGAAGCCCGATTATTAGCCATAAAAAACTATTTTCGATGGTCCAATAATAAATATACCGTAGTTTGAAACGGGAAAACAGGGCAAAAAGCGGCATCAACAGCTTAGCAGTGGTCCACCCCCCGCCCCACCCCACCCCCTTTTTTTTACAGCAGACAATTCAAGAAACGCATAACAATAAAATACAATGAAGAAGAAAATCTTAGACCGTAATTTCGACTAGAGCATAAAAGTACAACATAAAGCAAAATATATATGTGGTACAAGACAACTCGCCCCACGAAATCTATCCTTCAGCCCTCTTACAGTTACGCGGTGGGTCAAATCGAATAACAGTATTGATAACAAATTGTTTACTTGTTTTGTAAAAAAACAAATTGTGGAGATGCACGTGTTATATAGACTGTCTCAAGTCACCAGGCCCGATCTAAAATGGATCGTAAAACTCGACGCCTGCACGAAGCAATCCAAACTTTTCGTCAAAGGAGAAGTTCACAGGTGCGTTTTTTTTCTTGTAAAATTTCAAAGCGTAGCTCCCTTTCTCTAAGAAGTAGGGCCAAAGAACTTGCCATGGTCAACGGCTGGAGGCGACGCAGACGACTGAGTCGAGTGGCGGAGCGTGTTTGGCGCACGTATTGATAGATGGTGCTGCTTCCTCATCGAGACTGCTCACGATGACCGTGATTTACTAAAATGAACATATTTTTCTAGTATACTTTTGGTTTAACATGCGGGCAATAAAGGAAACATTTTGAAGTTTAAAAGAACGCGGTTGCATTATGACGACGTTCTTTTTTCCGACGGATTTCGTCTACGTGGCGTCTGCTTCCTTTCGCCGGTCGGCTACACCTTCCGACGCTGCTCCCGACGCCATCTATCAATACGTGCTTCCAACGCGCACCGCCACTCGACTCGGTCGTTTGAGTCGCCGTCCGGCGTTGACCCTGGCAAGTTTCTTGGCCCTATTTTGTACAGAAAGGAAGCTACACTTTGTAGGTTTGCATGATAAAACTGGCCTGCGAAATACACCTTTGACTAAAAGTTTAGATTGCTTTGTGCAAGCGTCCATTTTTATTGTAGATCAAGCCTGGTGACTTCAGACGTCCTATATATTATTAATTTTAATATTTTAGTAATTGAAGTATTGCCACAAATAAGGTTCGATTTGACATACAACACATCATTTTATCCTAAACTTGACAATCAAGAAACGTTTATGTATATCAAACTTGACCTGATGGCAGTTGCAGTTCTTAAACATACTGTTCATGCACTACAGCCCATGTATCTACTTTAATCCAGTGTTCACCTATAGCAAATAAGACATATTTTGGTCTGAAACTTGCCCAAAGTGAACGCCATCAGATCCTTATATAAATGTTTCCCGAGATTGTTATTTCTGATATTTTCATGAACGGACCCACGCCATAGTCTCTCGAGCTCGCTTAAATGCTTACACTTAACTTAGACTTAGTATTGTTGATGCACACATTACACCTTTTTTAACACCCGATGTTTTATAATTGTTTCAAAAGGTTAATCTAATATTTATGACTATTTTATATCTGTCTGATCGTGCATACACAGATGCATTATTTTTAGACATTAGAAAATACATATATAAAAGATAATAAAACCCACCTTGTCCAGCGCTCCATACTGGCAATTTAAAGACTATGATCAGTAACGCCGAAACAGCGTTGTAAGTTTTACAAAGCGACATCTTCTTGGGCGTTTCTGAAATTGGCGCCACAGAAAGCAACAATCAAAACACGGCGAAAAGCCAAAAACAAAATAAGTAGATAGCACATCATGCTCATAGAATATACCAACTATTTTACACCCAGTGTTTCGATTCTAAACATAGACGAATTACACCATGAAATAAGCTCGTAAATTAATTCGGTATATAATATCTGCTTTGTACTGTTTGTTCTGTTTTTAGCGCACAACGCGTTTACAGTGAAACGCGAAAGTGTAACCACAAAAGGTGTGTGCAATGTTCACTAAACTGACGCGGAACAGACGAAACTGCGTATTTTCTCATAGGTACCTATTTTAAATGATAATGCATTTAAAGAAGTAGTCGTCGTAATTTACGCGAGTTGTTTTATATTTTCCTCTCATACGTCCATAACGTACAGTCACGTGCGTTCTCCGTTTCGCGATAATAGTGAGTTTTAGTACTGCGTATACGAGCGAACGCAAACCCTGTGCGTTTGCGCTATCGTTGCGTGTTCCACACTGCGCGTGCGTGGAGCCCAAACCGCGGCCTTGGATTGAAGCATGGCGACTTCGCGCATGCGCAGCGTGGAACACGCAACACTAACGCAAACGCATAGCGCTTGCATTTGTTCGTATACGCAATACTAAAACTCACTAATAGTGTTTTAGTATTCCGTACAGTAACAAAAGCAAATACTCAGCGTTAGCGTTAGCGTTATGCGTGCTCCACAGTGCGAATGCACCATACGTACACAAGACCACGACTTTTATGTACGTACGCTCTCCATCGATCTTTGTGTACGTAGGCTGCGGCCCCCTGCGTTCCGTTCTCGTTGCTCTCGTCATGAGCCGGACAGCGCGAGAATCAGATTGGCTTCACCGAATAGACCGATCTCACCAGCCAGTCTGACTACGCCACCGCTGCCGCAATGCATCGAGGGAACTTTAGTCTTTCTGCACGTGCGACGACCACACTGGAGCACTGCGCGTGCGGAGCATGAGACGTACGGCACGAGCCGTCTCGGGCACTGCTGCCTGCCTCCAGTGAACTAAAGTTATGGCGGCCTCACGCATGCACCGGAGGCTTGGTGAGATCGGTCTATACCGGCTTTACATTACTTGGAGCAGTTCGGTAGGGCATATCTAGATGGCGCGGCTACCGTATGCGTTTGAGTATTTGCTGTACTAAAAGCGCTGGCTTGACGCGCTCCGGAGCGTTCCACTGAGACCTTGAGTGCGTCGTACGCAGTGCTAACTCAAGGGTCTCGACCACTGATCTCTATTGCATGGGCTGAACAGCGGACCGCGGCCTCGGCAACTGGGGCCGAGTGTCGCGAACGGCGGCCATTGATTGACACCGCCAAATGCATGGGACTCTATGGGAAAAACAAGACAAAGTCCCGTTTCCATCGTTTCTAAGCTGTTGTCGGTACTGAAACGTTTTGGCTGCTTTTCGATAAGCCCGTCAAATAGCTTGCGTACAAACATTAAAACTGACGGCCCTCGCAGCTCTTATAAATAAATAATTTGTGGTGGAGAGTTACTCCGCTGGGCTAAAAATGGAGCGCAGCTCAATGAGGCGAAAGTTACCTAGACTTTTTGCGGAGTCGGTGGCGGTTTCGTTGGGTTGGGTTTAGCAGACGACAAGCTCGAAGGCTTTGCTACGCGGAAATCGCTCACTTTCGGAAATCCGCTGTCGAGATGGAGCTTCTTTATTATTCATCAACTTCTGGGCTTCCCCGAGGACGGTTTCATTGGCGGCAAGTTCCTTTGTTTACTCCACTGCGAGAGCGAGCTTGCCAGCTCAGCCGTAGGTGCTCCGGTACGTTTGATTTTCTTAATTGGCGTTCGAACGTTTGACAAATGCCGATTCGATCTTCAAACACCCGAAATAAGGATCGCAGCACACCATCAAATACTCGCCTCCGAGCACAGCGTACATGCTCCAATATTCTTACTTTTTCGTTTCTCCCATAGACTTGCGTGTATTACCATGGTGTCAAGCAATGGCCGCCGGTGGCGACACCGAAGGGCTCCCGATTCGCGATCCAGCCTACTACAATAGAAATCAGTAGTCTCGACTCTATTCTAAACCCCACAGTGAGTTTTAGTATTGCGTATACGAGCGGGTGGAAGCACTGTGCATTTGTGTTGGCATTGCGTGTTCCACACATACGCGTGCGCGGAGCCCAAACTGCGTCTTAGATTGGCGCACGGCGATGACGCGCATGCGCAGCGTGGAACACAGAACGCTAACGCAAACGCACAGCGCTTGAGCTTGCTCCTATACGCAATATCAAAAATCCATAATGCAAATAAGAGAGCAGATCTCACCAATAGAACATGTACGTCTCGTGTGATAACTTGTATACCATCAAGAGAACGCATCAAGCTATTCCGCGTCCGCGTGTACGAACTCATATGCCGTGGAGGGCTTTTTGTATTGTGCATGGATCAACTTCATTCATTATTCAAAGCCTGACAAAAGAAGGTTACCCCGCAGGGGGCACCTGTGAAAGCAGGTGTTTGGTGAGTGGCGTCCCCACGGTCCCCCAGCCATGCGGGTTCGCCTGCCTGGCTGTGCGTGGCTTTCCCATGTCCGGGGAAAAGAGCATACTGGTGGTTGAGCCGAACCCGTGGATAAATGGAACCTTCAGGGACCCCCAGGGTGTTTACATACGCCACTCCGGCCCCCGCTTCTCATAGACGGGGGTCTTGGTAAGGCCCGGCCAGGTTCATTCAGTCTAGTCTCCTTTTCTTCTACTATCCTCCCCGATCTTTCACCTTCACCTTTCCTATTTATTTCACTTCTCTCTCATTTCTCTTATTTCTTTTGCACCCCCCTTTGGCGGCAAGAACTAAGCTTGGGTGGCAATAGATACTCTCGTCTAACCACACTTGGTTATAGAATCTTTGTAGCACTGGTAGAGCAACCTACTCAAACAAGCCTGTACTTTTATGAAATGTTGCCTGTCCCTCTGTTAGACTCCGTGGTGGGCAGTGTGCCACAGGTGCCAAAGTTTATTTCCCTTTTTATGGCAACCGCTCCTAAACCAAACCCGGTTCATGGCGACTAGACAAGCGACTGCACTCAAAAGCACTTGTCATACCTAAAGAGTCGAAGTCGGACGTGTTTACTCCTTCGTACTTCCTTCAGAAAATAAACAGCGTCCAATGTCCAAGCTGCCCCCTTTTGCTGTTGCAAAAATCCTTGACTTGTGCCTAGAAACGCATTACATGCGTAAGAACTTTACTGTGGAGACCTGCTGTGGAAGTAAATTCGAAGAAACAAAGCTTCGTTTCCTCACCTTGAAAACCATTGCAGATGTAAAAGTAAAATTGTCTCCTCAACGCACGCTTAACACGGTTTTTGGAGTCATCTTTGAGGACGACCTCCTGCACACCAACGAAGAGGAGATCCTTGAGGGCCTCCGTTCCTCTGCCGTAGTTGCCGTAAAGAGGGTCCTGTTCAGGAAAGATTGATCTGAAACTCCCACTAAACATCTGATAGCAAGGGCGGATCCTAAACTCCGTTTTTTTTTTTTTTTTTTTTTTTTTTTTTTGGGGGGGTGGGGGGGGGGCGGAGAAAATTTTTAAGGATGTATTCTCCCCTTCTTTCATGGGCACCGGGGTGTCCGCCCATGTCAACTTGCCCTCTCCGCCCATGTCAACTTGCCCTCCGAGAAGGGGGGAGGGGGGGGGGGGGGGGCCCTGGATCCGCCCCTGTCTGATAGTCACCTTTGAGTGTCACTGTCTGCCTGCATCTGTAAATGCTGGCCACATAAACTGTCGCGTCCGGCAGTACCAACGATGACGCCGTTGCTACACAGCCACATGACGCATCGCAGCCAATGGCAATTGAGGTTCCGTTTCGCTGCTACAGACAATGCCGGCTTCGCTCCATGGGACAATTAATGCTTTCGCATTAAAACAGAAACAAGTACTATGATGGAAAAACCGGTGTCCCTCGCACCATTCTACGACGCAATTTGCGGGGAAGCGAACCCATGGCTGCTAGTAACCGCAGTGGAACGAATTGTTTTATTGGCTCTCGCAAATAATTACAGCATGAACGTTTGCTTTTTACTATGGGATTTATTTTTTTCTGCCATTGAAAATACTTTCTAAGCACTCACATTGCCGAGACAAGCTCGGTGTATTGGTTATTTATTGATTAGATGATCATCGCGAACATTTTTACCATCAAAACGACAAGTATAAAAGGCGGAACCGCATGTACGGAGCCAGGGGGGGGCTTTAGTGCGCGTTCTTGTTAATGTTTGTATGTGATGTGTTTGTGTATGTTATTGACTGTACGGTAACCAATGTAGAGGCCCGCGAATCGTATGTGTGTCATTTGAGCGTGTATAACAAAGTTACCTAAATCTCAGTACTAGAACAAAAACTTTTCTTCTTCTTTTTTTTTTTTTTGTGACCGTTGAGTTGGACGTTATTTAGCGACGCTTAACCTAGACATTTGTTATTCCTCTGCCAGTGCCTGCCATCTGGTGGCAAGCGACTTGTCCTCATTTTAGGCTCCGCGATACTTTTTTGGACCGTGGAATGAGCGAAGTAGTCTGCGTTGAATTGCTTCTTTTATGAACGATTTTTGGTTTCGCGAATGGTTTACCACTCCCTTCTGATGTCCGGTGCTAACGAAGAAAATGTGTCGCGTGGCATTGCAAAGATGAGACGGGACGTGCGCGTAGTGGCCAGGTTTCGGTTGTCTCCGTTTAACATCCCATTCTTGAAAAGGAGAGGACGGAGTGACAGCTTACGAAACGCATTTTCGTACCCGCGCGGGAAGCCGTTTTCGGCAAAAAATACAGGTCGTGAAAGCTCGTGTTATGTTATTTTTATTTGTTACAACTATCGCTCCGAAAGCAGACTTTGAATGTGTGCGAAGTGGTTGACTGCGTCTCTTGCAATAACTGCTTGGCAGGCCTGGGGGGCCGCCAGTGGTGCTCGAGGTATTTGCCTTTTAAAACACTGCGCTAG